AAGTGTTTCTGCATTCTCTTTGCTTCAAGCTTTTTTCATCATCTTTGTCTATTTTTGCAAGATCTTAAAAGGAGATATGTAAACACATAAGAACTCTTAAATTGAAATGAGAAAATGGATAAAACTCTAGTTCCTTTACAAGTAGTAAGATTTTTAGCGCAAGAAGGGGTTGATACAATATCATCTTAACTTGGTTTTGTTTTCTTAGGTATGCTTGTTAGCTTGTCATATTATGTTTCTCAATTATCATTTTTACAAATGTTTTTTTCTACTTTCTTCAATGGCATGCACGACTCGTCCTATGGTGACTCCCCTTAATTGATATGGAGATAAGGTTCATTGGTCCAACACTAAAGATAGTCTCATTAACTCTAATGATAATGGTTTCTTAGAGTAAAAGGTTAAGATTAATCATTGTTATTACGCTTGTTATGGCGTATGTGACTCCTTCATACTTGGTCATTGCTCCTAGAAAAAGAGACTAATACGATAAAGTTTGGTAAATCATTTCCAAACCTTTTAATGTAACACTCATGAAAGTTGTTGGAGTTATTGGATGTCTTGACTTTGTCGAGGTAATGATGCCTTGATGCATGACCATCATTCACTTTTAGAAGTTGACAATGGTTAAGGGGTAGGGTGCTAGGAAGATAAAGGATTTTGAGAAGAAACTGGTGGAACTAAGAAATCAAAACACCAGAAGATAAGAATGGTCAAGAAGAATGCTAACATGCTTGAAAAGGAGGTTGAGAAAGCTAATGTTGAACTTCTTAAAACTAAAAGTGATCTCCTCAAGGTATATGACTTTAAAAAGGTTGTGAATCAATTATAATTATATGTCTGAATATAACTTAGAGGTAGGGATGACAATTAAACTCGTAACCGTGGAGATCGACCAGTCCCCGCCCCGAGTTTGACGGGGAAAAACCTAGTTAACCGAGGGCGGATTCGGGTTTTCCCCACTTTAAAAAGTCGGGTGCGGGGGCGGGGATGGGTAATGCAATCTCTACCCCGACCCCGCCCCCACCCCGTTGCCATGCCTACTTAGAGGCCTTCAATATGGAGATAAAATAATTAATTGTTTGTTGGTCTATGATTGAACCCTTTAGTTATGTATAAAATCTTATGTATAAACAATGTTATCTAATTACATAAAATTAATTATTTATGTTATATATGAGAAAATTTGACGAGCTAAAAAATGTTATTTTTTATCTTTGAATTGAATAAAAAAATATATAATCCAATTCTTTTTGGACTAGCCAAACAAGATAGTTATGTTTTAGAAACTTGTGCAATCTAATTTGTACAAATTTTTCTTAGTTTAGGAAATTTGTAACTCGAAATGTGTTAATTTAACCCTTTATATTGTGTCAGCATATATTGTTGATATTAACACTTTGTTATACCAATCACATAATTGTTAGTTTGTGGTATGAACTAAGTGATGATGTTAAATGTGATGCAAATGACATGTTCTTTTATGTCATTCTCATGACAACAGTTTGAGTGGTGTCGATAATACTTTATATGATATTATTCACAACAAGACTTAGAGTGGTGTTGACTACATTTGATGTGGTGCGCCTCACAACAAATAAATGCTTCAAAAAAAGAATTATCATTTGATTAAATTTCATAAGTAACCATACCTAGGTAAAATAACCTTTGAGATGAGTTACATTCCATGTTCTTCGAATAGTTTTCTAAACAACTCTCCAAGTTTGTAAGGGTGATTTTATAAGGAGTAAAAAACACAATAAGGTCCATCCCAATTTAATGTAAACTTCCCCTCTATTTGATCGCATTAAGCATTTCTAACACCTCCCCAGACAAGGCTTCTCGGTTCTTACCAAAGAAGAATCATTCAAACCTTGTTTTAAATTTTGATTAGATGTAAAATAATAATTAATTGTCTCTTAAGACATACATTTTTTCTCATTTGTGCTATCTTATGTTTATTTGTTATATCATCTATATGCATCTACTTGTTTTTTTATTCAAAACTATAATTAGTTCAATTGCACAAGATTAATGAGTCTTTTATTATCTACAAAGAATATTTTAGAATGATATATCATCCTTTGTTTTTTTTTTTCTTTTAAGATAAGCATAATGTTCAAATTTTAGATATTGATAGACATACATTTCCTTCGTACTAAACATTTTTGCCTTATATTCCATCCACAATATACTAAACATTTTTATATTCCATCCACAATATACAAAGACGCAACTGAATCCAAAAAAGAATATAAAAATACATTGCTCAAGTTTGATAAGTAACACAAGTTATTTCATCTTGTTTCTCAAATAAATATAACATTAAATGCAAAATTATTGCTAAATTTCAAGTATTTAATACATTAACATTCATATGAAATATTTTAGGTCTCAATCTCTCATGAATAGAAGAGGAAGAAGAGAAGAAAGTTCTTGCAACAACTACTCATAATCCTATTATCTAACAAAAGGCAAAAAAACATAAAAATAACATATATCTTAAGATTTTTTCTGCATATCCTCTTCTTGTCAAATTTTTAAAAAAGTTTTCTAATCTTAGTGAGAGAAGAAAATCTTATATTCAACTTTGAGACCTTAAAGCTAAGTCTAGAGAAAACTCCAATGTTGTAAACACTAATTTTTATAGATGTGTTATTGTGTGTAAATTAAGAATGACTTATTTGTTTAAAGAATCTTAATGTTATCCAAGATTGACTTTTACTAAAAGGATACCCGTGTAATCTTAAAAGCTTAGAGAAATTTTGAAAGAATACTCATGTTGTGTTAATTTATTAGTGAAGCTTGACACATGTTGCGAAGAAGACATTGTCTTATGATTAGATAAATCAATATAAAATATTTGCCTTTATCTTTACATTTGCTTTGTCTTGTTATCTAACATTAAATTATTTGTTTGTTTTATCATTTGTCCATATACTCAAACTTTTAGTTTGTATGTAATTTTAAAATTTAATAAAGACAAATGATTTGAGCAATACATGTTTTTTGAAAAAGTTTTGAAAAATCTACTAAAACCCAATTCAAGCTATTTCCTTTATTTTAATTTTTTTAAGTTGGTTTTGAGTTGTTTATTAGATTTATGTAATGCCTTCACCAAAAACTTAAGCTAGGCTGGAAGAACTTTTGTGTGGTTGAAACTTCTGCTCACATTGAGCTCTAACAATTTTTTTTTTAAAGACATTAGGCCCTTAGCATGGACAAAGTTGGATTTAAAATGGACCATGGACTTAGTATATATAAACTTAAAAGAAGATCAAGGATGTAAAAGTTAAAAGAAAATTTTTATTTTACTTTATGTTGGCACATCTTTATGGTTGTTATGCGGTGGTTAGTCTTCCATTTTTCGTGGATTTTTTTTTTAGGTTTTGAAAATAAAAATGAAAATTTTATGTGTTTTTAGGTTTTCGAAATATTTTAGTTTCATGATTTTTTTTGGTTGAACTTGGATTTCCTCTTACAAATCCAATGCCTCTTTATGTTGATAATTTAATTGTATTCAAATTATTGTAAATTTAGTTTTTCATAAGCAAACCAATCATATTGATGAAAATTGTCATTATATTCAAAGAGACTTGTGATGACGATGTTATATTAAAAAATATTCTAACTAATAGTTCATTGCCCACATCACCAAATTCTTTTAAGTAAATTGATACCTATTGACATGCATCAATTTGAATGGATGTGAATATTTACTTATTTTTATAAGTAAATTACATTAATTTTTTTTAATAATAAACATTATAAATTATGAATTGATTTAATAGACTACACCTCAAATAATAGAATATTTGTAATTAGGAGTAATCATTATCATTAAATACTTTGATTATTATTTATAAAATAAAATACAATGAATAAAGACAAAAAAAAACTATTTTTCTCACCATTAAAAACAATATAAGACTAACTAGAAAAATATCACAGAAAAAAATTACGATTTTAATAAATAATACGCCTATATATATATATATATAGTTGTCATCATTATAGGCTCACTATATTAGTATAAGATGAAAAAAAAAAAAAACTCAGATCATATGGAATTGATAAAAAAAAATAATCAAGTTCTTCACTTAAAAGTACATTTGATAACATGATACGCTTCAAAAAACTTAAATCTTGCACGATGTTGCCTTGATTGGAAGTTAATTGCCTTCTTTGAATTGATCTCGCAAAGAAGGGTTGTCATTTCTTCCTCGGTGACATGCTCCTGTACTTATGAGAACAAATGTGGCGACGGTCAACTGTGTTTTTTTTTTTTTTTGTCTTACTATGTTATGAAGGGGGTTAGTTTCGCGAGTAGTTTGACTTTTAAAGTGGATTTTAACTTTTTCTTTTTTATAATCTTCAATGATTATCTTACATTTTTAATTTTTAATGTCATCTACTTATACATCTAATTATCAAATCATAGAGCTGAAGACACATGGGAAGGAGAGTATCCATATTCGATTCACGTGTCAAAATTCATATTTATTTTATCATTTTCTGTCTATTTAATGTATACTAATACCCATTTATATTTATCTTGTAATCGTAAAATTAGAGGAAAAGAAAGGCACAGAATAGAAATGGACATGAAGAATAAGAGAGAAGTTAAAGTGTTATCCATACTGAATTTTAACCAATAAGTTGATTTAATTTATCCCGTGTACAAACAAAAGCAAAAACAATTCACAAGACCAATAAGCTTCACTCTGTATATTCTAATAAAATAACACCATCACCAAAGCATAACAATGCTTCATGATTTGAAGCTGCAGGCTACATGCAGTGCACTGCCCCGCACAGCACGGCTTAACTAATTTCCTTCTAGCATCATACATCATCTCCATCCATCTTCTTATGCTGTTTTGGACTTTAATTTATTTTTGCTTGACAGTAAAATTAAAAGGTATACGTGATATAAAGTAAAGATGAAAGTGGGGTAAAACGATATGTACTGGGTGGTGGGAATTTCGCAGGTTGGTAAATTATGTTCTCCTTTTTCCAATGGACTGGTGAGGCTTACCATCAAACAACTCTTCGATGTAAGTCTCTATGTCTTCAGCTTGGTACTTAATATACTTCTCTGTCTGTCTGCCTGGGTCAAAAGTCTGCGCGAACCTCGCAACGAATGATCGGTACGCCGGGATAATAACTGCAGAGATGGAAACCCTAAGCTCCGACTGAAGCTGCTCGTCCTTCACCACCCACGAGCTTTGCGTCTTGTGAATCTCGTCGAACAATGAGTTGAAACTCTTGAACCTCTCCTTCAGCGACGGCTTGTGCACCTTCCCATTCACGTTTAACCCTTCGTGGTTCAGACACTGCAGCACCCTGCTCCACGTCTCCCTCTGGTAGTTCTTGTGGTAGTTTCTTAGCTCCGAGGACTTCTTCCTGATCCAGTTGTCGCCCAGCACCTTGCTCATCTCGGAAGAACTCTTTATCTTCTGCAGCATGTACCTCCCGTTGTTCATCATGAAGAAGTTGCTAAGCGCCACCTCTTTGTACAGACGCGCCTTCCCCTCCAGGCTCGAGTCGAGCAAGTCCATCACCCTCAACACTTGTGCTGAGAACGGAGATGGTGCGTCCGAACACGCCTCCTTTTTCACCGCTAAATGCCTGCTTGTAGAATCCGCTTGCCCCTTCTTCGAATGATCGTTGAAAATCTTCTCTAGGGAATCCTTGTAGTCCCCTACTATGTTGAGATAGTTCATGATGTAGCGTGTGAGGGGGTGCACTGCGCCACCAGGGACAGCGGATTTCGCTGTCTCCAATTTAATATGGTTCTCCAGGTCGCAGAAGATGTAGATGGAAGCCTCGCCAAGTCTGAACTTGGCGAGGGTCATCTCAGTCCTCATCTCCTCGATACACTCATCTGGAAAGAGTAAGTTCATATTGGGGATCACGTTGGAGAGGGCCTCGTACATGTCGAGGAGCTTGAAGAGCTTCTCTCCGGCTCGCTTCGTCATGGAGACACCCTCGGCAAAGTTGAGAAGCTGGATCACCACCACGCGGGAGAGGCTGCTGAAGAGTCCGGCGGCCACCGTGCGGTTCTCGGCGAACACGGTCTGGACGAGCTTCCGCTCGCCGGGGAAGTAGATCATCGCGCACTGCTTGAGCGTGTTGATCCAGGCGGGGATCATGTCCCTGGATAGAGTATCCCACTGCACCTTCATCACCATTTCGTCGATGCTGATCTTATCTAATCCTAGCTTATGGTGAACCTCCTCGAAGGCGTTCCTCCGCGAGATGATGTAGACCTGGCAGCACTCCGATTCGTAGCCGCCAGATAACATCTCGCTGGCGATCTTTCTCAGGCTGGCAATCGTCTCATCCGAGTACCCCGGGAAATTCGTGTCTTGTTCACCACCTTCTTGATGTCGCACCATCTCTTGATGTAGTTGTTCCGATGCTGCCACGTGTTGTTTCCCTTTGGTATCGACGCTGTTGTAATTATTCCCTCCGGGATCCAATTCGGTTGGTGTTCTACATTCTTCCATCAGAAACCGGAAGTCTTCCTCCAGATACGTCATCAAACGCTGGTGGATCAAGGTAATGCGGTTCATCATCGAGACTTTTGCACCGTTGATCTTCTCCGATTCATGATAACGATGTAGATCAGTCACCAATGTCATCAGTTTTGAAAACCGGTTCGTGCTTTTCAACAACCACGAATCTTCCTCCGACACCTCTCCCCATTTCGGTTTACCTTCACCTGCGTCGTATTTCATTATCTTCTCTTCCACCAGATCCAAGTACGTCTCAATGAAGTCAGGGATCTCAATGTTCTTCGCATTTCTAACGTTTTTCAGACTTGTTACTAATTGGTCAACCTGTAGAGAAATTTTCTCGAGGCTTTGCGGAGTAGACGCGGCGGTTTCTTCTTTCTTTTCTACCTCCTCCGCATGACCATGCGGCCTCGGGAAGGACGGTTCTGCTTGAGCGGCGGCACCGTCAGGTTTTCGATCGGAAGGAGGCAGCATGTCACCGACATTGTTACTGCCAGAATTCTCCATGTCGAAATTAGTTAGTTAGTTACGGTGACGGTTATGTTTTCCTCCTTGGCGAAAGGGATAAAAGAGAAAAGTGTTTACAAGTGACCGATGCGGAAGCTGAGGAGAATCATACGTTCGTTGTCTTTTGATTTTACAAATAGAATATGATAATTGAATAATTTTTCTGTCCTTCTATTGTGAGGGTTGAGTGGTTGACCGTTGACGTTACTTGTTTTTTTCACCTACGTCGTTTTGTTTGTGCATCTCACTAACTTCCGTTCGTTGAATTGATAGCGATGGGTAGTGAGAGAGAAAAAGAGAGAGGAACCTTTGCGCTTTTATTATTGCCTTTTTTGTCGGAGGCGGTGCGTAATGCGCGCCACTCACACGATGAGCGGGTTCGGATCTCAATAATAAGACGCGATTCCGGGTCGGTTCCAAACCCGACAAATCTCGATGCTACGCGTTATGCCAAACAAAGAGTGATTGAGATTTCAGACAACACTTCAGATCCGGCTTAACAGGAGCTGAGTTAGATGAACTTGATAACTTCCAAAAAAAAAAAATCGAAATTGAAGTGAGAAAGATAGGATAGAGAGAGAATGAGATATGGCGGAGGTAGAAAGAGGCGAATGCTGTTGCAACCATTTCTCGTTTTGTGTGCGACGGTGACAGTTGTGGGATTGTTGATGCTGGCGCTGAGGCCGTTGGATCCTCCAATCACGGTCGATTTTGCAAGAAACTTCGAGCTCGGAGATTCGAACAGCTCGAGGTTCGATGCCGGCGGCGCGGGCTTCGTCAGAGAGAAGCCCTGCGTGACGGTGGAGGAGATGGGGAAGGATTTCGAAAATGGTGTTGTAGGGAAGGAAACGCTGAGAGTGAGGAGCATGATCGAGGATCACTTCGTTTTGAACGGTAGTTACTTTTTGATTTATCATTTATGCGGTTTAAGTTCTTTAATAGCATGAGAATCGTGCAGAGACTGTTTCTTTGAGTTTCTCTGTTTTAAGGAACGAATATCAATTGTTTTGAACTTTCTCTTGTAAGGCGCGGAGGATTTAAATGAATATCTGGCGAGCTTCTAGGTACTTCATATTATTGTTTCCAAGTTTCTGTTGTTTGTTTTGATTGAAGGGGTAAAATTTCTACGAGCGGTTTTAAGGAATGTTTTCATTCTAACATAACTTGTTTAATTTTGCAGAGTTTTGGTACTTCAGTTTTTGTGCTTGTCATTATAGAGTGCCATTCGTGGTTTAAGTAATTGTTATGTTTCTTTTTAATAAGATGTTATTGTCGGTGTAGTTACACTTTTTTCACGTCTAATATAACAAATGTATTATATTTCAGTAAAGATTTATAGAAACATTTCTAATGTTTCCAATCCTCATACATCTAGTTTACTCTCAAGACAATTGCTCAGTTGTGAAAGTATGCACTTGCTAGTTTATGGATCATGATTCATGACTGGTAATTATCTAAGCTGTTTTTTCACAATTCAATTTCACTTCCTGTTTTTCTGAAAATAATCTTAATTTATAGTTGTGCAAATCTCAGAGATTCATAGCATAAATGTGTGAATAGGAACCATGTGCTTCTGCAAAAACAGTTCTTGAATCAGAAGATGTTGAAACTTTTGTTGCAGGTGCTTCGAGAATCAGGGATTTGCCCCCGGAGCAGTTCTGTAGTCATGGATTTGTTCTGGGAAAGACTGCCGAGGCTGGTTTTGGGAATGAAATGTACAAGGTCTTAACTGCTGCAGCACTGAGTATAATGTTAAACCGGTCCTTGATCATTGGCCAAACCAGGCATATTGGTTCTTTCCCAAGCCTTTCTTTTTCATTTTTAAGAGATAACATTTCTATCACGGATGCATGAAGTCCTAACTAGTAGTTCATTTTAGGACTAATTTGGTGGTATCCCTTTAAAAATGGGGCTCCTAACAGGATTATTTCTGCTTGAAAAATTCTACAGAAAACTAATGTCTGAATCATTTCACCCTCAATCTTAAGGAGATACCTTATTTACCTTTGGAGCATTTACTGGCTATGTTACTTATATAAATGTGTTACCTTTTTAAGCGTGTATTGATATCTTGTTCCAAAAATAATTTGGCAATATTTGAAAGGCAACCTATATTCGTCATCTTTTGACACATTACATATGTTTACAGCCACTCAGAACCTAGCAGTCAATAGCAGTCTACCATTGACGATTTGTGAAACTGCTTTGATCTTGCAATTTAGCGTTTATATTTATCTTTCCATTATCTGATTGCCACCTTGACTGCATATTTCAGAGGCAAATATCCTTTTGGGGATTACATTTCTTATTCCAACTTTACCTTTACAATGAATGAAATAAAACATTTGTGGAGACAAAATGGTTGTGAAAGCAACTATGGGAGGCAACTGGTTATGAGGACTGATGATTTTGAAAAGCCAACTCAAACAAATGTTCTATGTAGCAATTGGATGGAATGGAAGCAACCTATTATATGGTAAAGTGACGTGGGTTTTTGTACTTATTAGTCTTTCAAGCATCATATAATGACTATGAACCTTATATTGTAGGTTTCAAGGAACTACAGATGCCATGGCAGCACAATTTTTCTTGAAAAATATACACACTGAGATGAGGATTGCTGCTTTTGATTTATTTGGAGATCCTCAAGTCCCGGGATCTCAGCCGAATGTATTTGGAGAGATCATGAGAGTTCTCGTATCACCTTCAAAAGATGTCGAGGCAGCTGTCAATTGGGTTATTGGTGGTGGGGATAATCCTGACATCTCATTGCATATGCGGATGCTTATGAATAGGTAATATATATAATTAAACTCTAATATCATTGAATGGACACTAACATGCTTGATCGAGGAATTAGGCCGGTGAAGCCTACTGTTATTGGTGGTGGGGATAATCCTGACATCTCATTGCATATGTGGGACCTATATTAAAATAATGTTTTTATTAATAAAAAAACTCTTCTAAGAAATTTTCATTGAAAATGCTGTTAGAAGCGAAGCTAGAATTTGACATTCCTTCTCAACTTATCTATTTTGACATGAATCAAATTATAATTCGGAATATCAACAAGCTGATTTTGGTTTGGGATTGGTATCATCATTCCTGTTTCTTCTCCCTATTGCTACACAATATATATATATATATATATATATATATATATATATATATATATATATATATATATATATATATATATGTGTGTGTGTGTGTGTGTGTGTGAGCCTCTCTTTTTTTTTTTTTACCTTTTTCCGGCTCTTCTATATAGTAATATTACATGTTTGTATACAATAGGCGATTAATTTCTACATCAAGGCAGTACCTGTTTTCTTTCTTTGAAATTGTTTTAAACTTAAGCCATATAAAAATGTACCAGAATATGTAAAACATGTGCAACATCTCCTGTCTACACAGACTCAAGGAAAAATATTAGTATTTTAATTATGGCATTATATACGATATATAATTTTGTTCAACTCTTCCTTCTGAATTTCTATAATATATATATATATATATATATATATATATATATATTTTTTTTTTTTTTTTGTTAGTATAGTTTATAATATATTTATGACTTTATATTTGCTATTTTAATAATAAACTAATTATGTTTGATTGTAGTTTATGATATAATTAGACAGGGTTAATAAATAGTAGATGCACTAATTGGTTAGGAAGCTTTGATACCTCTATAGAATAGCATGTTCCAACACTTTTTGGACACGACTTGTCAGAAGTGGAGCCAGAAAATTAAATCAGACCAGTACATACAGATTTTTTTAAGGGAGACCATAATACATTTTTTTAAATAAAATTTAAAAGAGATTATCGGGCATGCCCCTGCCAGTTCCCTTTGGTTCCGCCCCTAGTGACACATGTCTGATGCTCCTCAACCGTGTCACAAATAATATTTTTTTTTTAAACTCAAATGCTTCTTTGACATGACTTAAGCATGAGTAAAGAACGCAAACCAATATATATTCTTGGCTAGACACTTCCTAGACACTACAATAATAAAAAAGTAAAAAGAAACTAAAAGAAAACAAATTATATTATAAATAATGCAAGACTAGTTTTTATAGGCTTGTTTCCATAGACTTAACTTGATATTTAAACTATTAAGATACATGTTTCTTATTTAGATTTCTATTGTGAGGGTTGTTATTATAGGGGAACTATAACAAATTTGTTTCGAGAGTGTAAATTATATAAACCTTAATTCTCAATTGAGAGTTTTATGATGTTTATTATGTATATCAACAGTGTCACCATGTCCTATATTTTGGACATTAGCCTTGTCCATATGTTAGTGTCGTGTTTGATGATATAAGGGGACAAGGATCATTGGTCCAATATGAACGGTGAAAATCAAGTAGTGCAAAAGGGATTGTTGAACATAAATCCTATAGCATTTTATTCATCATGTAGATGTCATAATTTGAACTTAGTTTTATGTGATATGAGATTTATAATCTAGAGCTATTTCTTTCTTGGAATTTTACAACGTATTTATTATTTATTTGTGTCATCTATGAAGCGATAAAAAAATTTGTAATATAATGAATTTAAATTTTCAATTAAATCATTATCTTAAACTCCATGGGAAAGTATAATTGAAACTGTGAAGACAATAAAATTTCTTGCACGAAAGAATAGAGATGCTTTTACTCAATTATCACAACCTTGATAACATCCTAATTTGAAAAGTGAAGTTATGTGTTTAACAAGATATGAGATTGATAATTTTGAATTTTTACTAGGAAGGAACTTTTGGTATGATATTTCGATTGCTATTAATTCTGTTAGTGAGATTCTACCATATGAACATATGGATGTTTCTATAGATCATTTAAGAGGCCTTTTTTATTCTTTATTTAAAATATTAGGGGGATAACGGATTTGCATTGCTTTGGTCTTAACAAAAGAATGACCATGGAAATGAACGTGGAGCCTAAATTTTGTGAAAAAACAAAGAATATATAGAAAGTCACAACTTGATGAAAATATTAATGATGAGATCACATAACACATTATGTTTAAGAATATTTCCGTATTAAATATTTTCTAAATTTCGTGAAGAACTAAAGCTCTATACAAAGTCACAATTTGATGAAAATATTAATATGATGAGATCAAATAATACATTATGTTTAAGAGTATTTTCGTATTTATTTTCTTTACAAATCATATCAATCTATTTTTTCTATTTAGATTTGAGTTAACAATTTTTACTAGATGAAATCATTTTTTATTTTTATTTGTATCTAAAAAATTTAAAACTTTAAATGAGAATGAATTGCAAAAATAATCTTAGTCTTGAAAAGTTTCTAAGTTTTAGTGAACATTCTTATATTGATGGTCTTGATTTATTTTTAGAATTGAAAGTATCAAGAGAAGAAATTAACGCTCCATCAGAATTATTAGACTATATCAAAAGATTGAATTCTTTTTTAAGCCTTGAGAAAGGCGCATGTATTGCAGGCATATTTGACACACTATCTATATAACATCCCAACTTTTCTGTCTTTTCTTTTTCTTCTTTTTGGGATAGGAATGGGGTTCAACCTTCTTGGAGGATGTTTTCAACTGATTAATATTTTTTCTGTCATTTTTTTAAGGTCCATTAGAGCAGTACAGGCTGCATTACATTGCATCAAAAAAGCTATACAGAGTCAGCGCCTAATGTCAAAACCAAAGGTGGTTGTGGTGTCAGATACACCTACTCTTGTTGAAAGTATCATGCCCAATATAAGCGAATTTGCGCAGGTAAGTCTCAGTGCGTGGTGTGAATATTTTGAGTACAACAATATGCCTCTCTTAATAATTTGTAACAACAGAGTATACTGCTCTGAAATTAGAGCTGGCTATCTGTTGTATTAAATAAATTTTCTTCATTAGCTAGTTTTTTATTGCTTACTGTCTGCATGATGTTTGTGGCAACCATTAATACAAGGAGTAAAACTGGGGTGCCTTTTTGACCAGGTTCTTTATTTTGATTATGAAAAGTTCAAAGGAAATATCTTCGAAGGTTTGCCCAAGAAAGATTTTAGAGTGAAGGATTGGGGTCCAGCACCGAGATGGGTTGCTTTTGTGGATTTTTTTCTCGCATCTCGCGCTAAATATGCTGTTGTCTCTGGAGCTCATCGTCGTGTTGGAACTACCTATGCTCAGTTAATCGCTGCACTGGCTGCAACACGCAATCTGGGTACATGCACTGCCCTCACCCTGCATTATTTGTTTTTATTTGTTTCTTCAACATACCACTGAAGCATCTGCAAATTGTTTTTTCTTCAGGAGAGAACTCGACTGGTTCAAGTTTTTCATTTTTGAGTAGTTTCCAAAGTAATATATTGACTGAAGGTTTAAAGAATCAAATCGGTTGGGGCCATGTGTGGAACAGATATGCTGGACCGTTGAGTTGTCAAAACCAGACCAATCAATGTGCTTTCACGCCACTTCTCCCTCCTGGTTGGTGGGACGGCCTAATGCAGTCTCCTATTCCAAAGGATATTAGTCGTCTTGCTGCCTATGGCATCAGACTGTCTACTCTTGGCACAGTTGATTACGATTCCCTTCAAAATCACTGTAATTCAAGGAAAAATGTTGAGAGAACCATCACATTCAATTTGTAGCGTTTGGAAGTCACATCATTGTATTCTTTATGGTATTATAACATAATAATTTATTAGTATAGAATTTGTTGCATCATTAGTTTTTTTATAGTCCATCTTCTATCCATATAAACGTAGCCAAACAAGTTGTATAGCTGAAAAAATGTAATTTCTGAGTGTTTCAGTTATTGTAACAAATACAGTTTAGGGAAATGGTGACACTTTAGGGAAAAAGGAGTCCTTTGTTGATACAGATATATTGACATGTCAGTCGATTTTAATGATTAGGACGTGAGGAAAAACATGAGAAATCGCACAATAAATTCTAGGTTAGAGGATTTTGATCGCTATTGAGTTTATTATATAAATTGGTTAAAGAGATACAAAAGGATATAAAGTTATTGGAATATTTACCCTAAATAATTTATCACTGACGAAAGAGGATTTTGGAGCTTACGGAAATGTATAAGAATGTAACTATATGCCTAAACTTTGTTGCCCCAAGTCCTTCAATCAATAGATTCAAATACGAAACACATCATGAGTTTAATAACACATATTTTGTATTCAGTTTTATTGTATCGTATAAGAACTTTTTTATATCTCATCATTTATATTTTCTTACATTTTTGTCATTAATAATAAGCTGGGCCTGTTTTGAATAAATATTTTTCTATTGTCACAATTTTGTGACAAATTGGGACTTAAATTGAAGAGAGACATCTTCAAAAATTTTGGAAGGGTAGTGTGACACATTGAGAAGAAAGGTTAAACTTTGAATTACCTAATAACTTATCCTTAAATCTCATTTTCTACCTTTATGTTGGGTTTTTTTTTTTATAATGGATTATGAATTAATTTTTTTTCTCATGACTTGTTTAATTACAAGTTAATATAGTTCGATTTGTAGTTTAAAATCTACTGCATACATTCCTGAAAGTTTAAAAATGTAACTGTGTTTAAATCCATATTTAGTTACTTCTAACGTAGATTAAAGTTTATCTACAAAGATTTTTGTTAAGCAAATAAAAAGTGATAATTAAGGAAACAAACACCTTAAATTTATAATCAATAAAATATCTTCTAATATCAAAACACGTCTTAAGAAAAAAATATTATTTCATTAATCTCATAATTATGTTAAACTTCTAAATGTTAGAAAAATTGAAGTTTAAGAAAAACATAAATGATTAAGGAATCCTTACTCATGATTAGGATTTTTATGTAAGAGGAAAGAATATGGTACTGTCATTTGATTTTGTGACTTGCTGAATATCATAACCATGATTCACAAGTGATAATTATCTTGATGGAATCTTAATTTTTTTTATCGTGCTTATCATCCAACATTAATAATAAAAAGTCACATTTCTCTCTTTCACTCTTTCTACCTTATATTGAAGAATAACTTTAACAAAAAAATTAATAAGAAAATAAAATAAAAATGAGAGAAATTTGTTGTGATAATAATATAATGAAAAAAAGAAGAAGAAAGACACTACTATATAAAAGTTTTAAAAAGAGAATAATTTTCAATCCACATTCATTTTTCTCTATTACTAATTTATGAATTAAACCCTATATTAATTTAACTTTAATGTAGATTTTATTATATGATTTATCGTGCATGACCTTCAGTCTAATCATTAAAATTGATTAACATGTATCCCTTTGTTGTTTGTAAAAGAAACTAGCTTCTTTGCCTATCGTTTCAAAATTTGTCTTCTTTATACTCATCAAGATTATCATACTTAAAAGTCTACAAAGACTCATAAGAAGTTCGTAAGCTTGTAAAAAGTCTATTTCATGTGCAAATCAATTTTCATAACTCTTCTCTTATAACAGTATTTTCAAATAGTGAAATCACATTAATACGTTAAATATACAAGATCTATTGAACAAACAATGGTGCTTCTAAACCTACTGTAGCTATTCCATAAACCAAATAGGGTGTAATTGAAGAGCAGTGTAGTGATAGGGCTGTGAGGGTAGCTAAGCCTGCACTGTTTACATTACAATCCCCTTATTCCAGTGTCTCAAAAATACATTAAAATATATCCTTCTTCAGTTAGTTTGGAAAGCAAGTAAATCTTTTACATGTTCTTCTGTGGAGGCTGTCTCTCTGCATAATCAACATTGTTTGTCTTTGAAATGTGTGGTTTCTTTCCCATTGGTGGAAGATGTCTATTCCCCAATGGAGTTCCACACCCTTTGTTTCAAAATAAATGTATTATTTATAAACAATCGAAGGATGACATCTGTTAAAATCGGATCGTTACAGAGAAGATTCGCATGCCCCTGCTTAAGGATGACTGGCAGTCACAAATGGAGATGGTCCAAATTGTTTTCAAAGATTGTTAATCTGTGTTGGTTTTGGTCCTCTTTTTTGTTTTGAAATCTCATGGTTTTCTTCTTTGAACTTTTGTGCTGATGCTACCTTCTCTTCAGGTTCAGGTCAAATTTTAACCTCTCTTCTCATTCATATGCACAAATTTTTATTACTATCGGGTGTAAGTCAAAACTCCTAAAGGAAAATATTGGAGGGTCTGTCAGACTACCCTGCGACCATCTCAACCTACAACGGTGGTTGGGAACGATCCTCCACAGCCCAAAGATGTAACTACCCCGTGAGGCGAGAACATTGGGCCATTAATCACGCTCTGATCACAGGGTCATGAATCATCCACCAGACTTCGGTTCCTGTCTCCTTAGATCTCAAGGATACAGAGGTACGAACCTATAGAACAGATCCTGTTCAAGTAAGGTCGTGACCAAGGGTGTCATATGGAAGATATATATCCCATTTCATTAGTGTTTATTTTTCCGTTGTGGGACTAGTATTGTCTTAGTGTCAGCGTCAATGTCTGCATTTGGAATGTTTGTGGCCTTTGTTTCATGATGAGACAATGGTCTGCAAATTGTTATGCGACCATCTTCCAGCATTTCTAGGGTGCAACAATGGTTGGTTACTCCTGCAAAGTTAATTATGTAATGGCAACTTACATATTCCATTTCTTAAAACTCTTCGTCTATGTCTCTATAGAACTGAACTGGAAACAAAATTTGGTAAAATTATTGTTGTCACGTAAAAAAGTTATGATATACCATGCTAAATATTCTTTTGAAATTCAAAATATGGTTTAAAAACTAATTAAATAAAAAGAAGAATGGCATGTCAAGTCAAAATGAAGCAGGAGAGGGATGAAGATATTAAAGAGTTCGTTCATAAGAACACCTGTAATTGAAATCATTTTTAAAGGAATAACTTATTCAACAATTGAAAGTTGTTTAAAGTCAGGTCTTGTTTAATCGAAAAAGAAAAAACAGTGAAGTACAGGGAGAATGGATACATGGAGAATAACTTTATATATATTTTAAATTTGATTGAGATAATGTATTTATTGATTTTGTTAATGACTGGAAAAAGGAATTTTTTTAATGTATAACAATTTATATTAAATTTGTAAATAAACAACTAAATGAATATATATTAAAAGTATAAGCTTTAATATGTTTAATAAGTATTGCAAACCTTTCTTAATCTAAAAATAAAAAATACTTTATATTTCTCTAAATATTTCTTGATAAAAAAAAAAGAAAATGAAAAACCATATTCCATTTTTTAATATAAAATGTATTAGTTCATAATTTTTTGAATCAAAAAATAAATTTTGCTGTAAAAAATTTTAGGAGTCAATTGTGATTTTAAGATTTTAAATATAATAAATTTTTATATTATTACAAATGGATATCATTTTGAATAAAGACATCTTCTTATCAAAATGATATAAACCTCCTAGGATATAATGGATTCACCATGGCTAAAAATCCATTCAAGTTCATATTTCTCCTAAAAAGAAAACTTTACGGTAAAACGATTTCAGGAATCAGAAGTTTTCTGATACATAAAATTCTCATAAGAGGCAAGTATAAAGCATACTTGCATCTAAGTAGGGAACGATGTTAAGAACTATATGTTTTAGACTTTCATAGAAGAGAAAACTTAGAGATAAGACATTTTAAGAAAAAAAAAACTTCTTATTTGATTGATTCTAATTGAGTCTGAATTACAACATTAAAAGTCCATCTATTTATAGGCAAACTTCACATGCATAATTGAAACTACGCTAAACTAAAATGAAATTTGGACCCGAAAACTCTATACAAAGTAGAATCAGAAGATAAGGTAATAAGATTACAACCCACACTCATTATGACCTTACAGCTGGATAATATATGCTAGGAAACGATAAGACAACTTATCTCTTTAGATAAAGTAAAGTTGATATGATCGTATCTTTGCGATGCTCGCAATTGACACGTATAAAAATAAGGAAATATCGTTTTAGTAACTTTTCAGGAGGATAGTCATTAACTAAAACTTTTACTTTTAGTCCATTCTGTTGGAGTCAAAATAATTCATCTATTGAGTCCCGCTTCTTTTCGTACTCCTATGTAGTGGGTCCCAGTAGGGATACAGGTCTTTGTGCATCATCATTTTTTTCATCAATTCTTCTTTGTAATCATCAGTCATGTCTTCAACCTTTTGGAATTATTCTTCGGGTACGTAGATCTCGGTCGTTGATTTAAAAAATCTTAACTGTTGAGATTCATCATCTTTTGGAACGATCATGTTTAGAGGATAAGAACTAAGTGACCTTTGGGAATGAGCTGATAATATTGGGGTCTAGCGGCTTGTAATAGTACTGATTAACTTCACAGAGGTGTTGAGTCAGATGGTTTCTGTAACTCTCATCGAGTGGATAGGTCTCAAAGCTTCCCCAAATGTAAGATTCGTTTCGTGACCACAGATGTCATGCAGAATTTAGAAAGTATGAATAATGAAGATAGAAGTGAGATCTTCGAGGGAGTCTTCAGTAACTCTTTTTTGTTTTTGGTAGTCTAAGATCCTATTAAGTTCTTGTCTCCACCAAGAAAGTAGAGAAAATCATTTAAGCAAAGTTCAGAAATAGAACTTATCTTTATAAGAATTTGTCAAAATCCTATAGGTTGTTTGTGTTTTCAATGCAATAAGGATAGAGTATTGAACAGTGTTGCATCATATGGTCCAAAATGTTAGTTCACAAAGATCCCAACCCGTTCACAAAATAATTCAAAATTCCCTCAGAAGGAATTTCAAGGTAAAAAATGGAGACTGAGATAGTTTTGTATTTCATGGTCTCATGGAGAAAGTAAAAGTAGCGAGATTTCGCATACTGAAGAATATCTGTTGGTAAGGTCGAGTTTAATCCGAGAGGATATATTCTAACAGTCTTGGCTTTGTTTGATAGGGATTTGACCATGAAGATGAGAGGGAGACTATAGGTGTCAGATATCAATTAGACAATTTTTTTTGGTTTGGATAAAAAAGTCAGAGACTGTGTTTTGATTCCCTTTAATATGTTTGACAGAAAAATCATACCTTAAAAATCAGTCAATCAATCTGAAGATCTATGGATTTGGAGGCATCTTGTTCTTGACATTAGTTTTACAAATTTTTTTCCTTTCTTTTTTATTTTTGTTTTGGTATATTATTTATATTATTAGGCTATTTAAAGTATTATGTTAATCATATCAATTAAATTATTTCTTTTCTAAGGGTGGTGATTTGTACTAGTTCTATCTAGATTGAATATTGTAACAAATGAAATAGTTAGTAGAGATTGTCACAATACAAGGTAAAGAAAGACAATTTGAGCATGGGAATTGCCTTCGCATTCCTTTTCCCTCATTGCTTTAAATGTATTTATTTCCATTGTAATGCATGATAATTTGTCTTCATTTGTCATGGTTGAATGAAACAACCTTCATCAGGAAAAGAGATTTAAAAAAGTTCAACAGTGGTTTCTATACAACTTAATGCACAAAAATGTTTCATGATCAATTAAAAAAAACTTGTAGTTTACACATACAGTATTTCATGTAGAGATAAAATTTAAGGACAAGTGAATCCAAGTTTTATCTTAAAGAATTCCTTTTCAACTACTAATTCAAATTTGAACTTAATGGTTTAACATCCTCTGACAGATGATTGAAAAGAATAATAAAAACATTATTTTCCAAACATGGATTGTATTTGTAACACAAACATTGCGGAATTAATTATACATGGGATGCAATCTTCCTACTACAGTGGTAACAAGAGTAAAGATTAATGTCATGGAAAATCTGTCTCATTATGTTTCTCAACCTAACACACCAACTATATTTAACTCAAGCATCAAGATAAGTTAGTAAGAACAATTCGGCTTGATCCATCATTGATTTCTTCCAGGATATTTCATGTCACTAGTCTTCTTCAGCCACAGAGAGAGAGAGCTGCAGCAACTTTTACAGGTGCAAAATACAACATCAATCAAAGCAAAGCTCACTCTCACAACACCACACAATATCTTCTTAGAAGCAGAATGCCTAAAAATAGACTAACAAACACCTTGCATTGCCTACAACCCCATATTGCACATAATTTTGCTGTAGACTTACCACATGAACAATGTAATCCTTTTTCATTTAAGATCAAATCTTCACAAGTCCCTTTGGCCTTGCCCATTTGGCTACACACGACGATTATCATGTGTCAAGCTACTACTGCTGTCCCCCGTGACACGGTTTGGTTCCCCCACCCTGGCTGCCAAACCCAAAACTTCAGGGGACATTTCCCAGCTTCCACTTTTTCTTCCCCAGCTAGATCGCCTAGGATGCATTGCAGCCCGGTCTGTGTCATCTACTGTCGTCCTGATTTCAGGAGACAATTCACCATCCTTTACTGCAACACGATCGTTGTTTAATTGAGCGTCAGAATCATCAATTCCAGCACCCATGTCCCATACTGTTTTCCTTCCCATCTCTATGTCCTCCCCAGCTTTCCCTATGTTTTGGTTCATATACCCTCCACCCACTGATCGAGTAGGTAATGCTGGTTCTTTTGGCACTGTTGCTCTGAAATTGTTCTTCGATGGGGGAATGCTGATGCAGAATATCTCCTTGAAATTATTCAACACTCCTTTGTTATATGGATTGGCTCGCCGGTCATATCGGTATCTGAAGTTTTCATAAGTAGTCTGCAAGAGTAAAGGAGCGAGTATCATGCTGCATGCATCTTAAAAGCTAGCCTACATCTAATGCATGTGGATTAAAAAGAACAGTGCTAACCTGATTGGTACTTATCAAATATAAATGGAAGGCAGTGAGGCCTCCTACAAACCACATTGATATAAAGGTGTAAACTATTAAGACTATGGACGCTGGAGTTTTTATCATTGCCTTCCAAATTGTTGTCTCTTCTGCCGCCATAATTCTTACAATATAGACCCAGCAAAACGCAAAAACATAAATACAAAGTAGCGTAGTTGAGAAGACAAACATGAAGAAGAACCGATAATTACGCTGCATAACAATGTGTAAACAATTCATTAAGCATATTCAAGAATGACACAAAGCAATTGACAACTGAAAAGTAATCCAAGAAAAAAAATAAAGAAAATGAAGCACTCACTGAGAATGAAGACAAATCTAAGCTGCAGGCTGAAGAAAACAAAGCCTAAAACACCAATGAGAAGCAAAGGGGATCTATTGTCTTAATTCAGTTCTATTTCAAACTTATCTGAATTTTTTCAATTAATAGAAGTGGATTTCTGTTACAGAGGGGATATTCTTTTTGGTTCATTGGAGGCAAGGGCAGCAATTGTCCTCAGTAATATTAATAAATGACATATCGCTTGTTACCATTCCCAACAGGTTCTGAACAAAAGAATATTAAAATTATCCTAAATTCCCTATAAGACATCTGTATTATCAGTTTATGAGGCACAAAACTATAGAGTGTGCAATTTGAAGATAAATTTCCCGTGATATAAGTTCACTTACAGGACAGAAATTTGATAGGTTCATTAGGTAGGAGCTGATTTTCCTATATATAAGAAGGTTTGAGAAGGAGAAGAGTTATCTTTGCATTTGGGAACTCCGGGAGAGAATCAGATCTCTCAAAAACCTAACACCGTTTTCCATCAAAAGATATCACTCTCATCCATAATTTGACCCACTTTCAATCATATACATACACCCATTCAGCTAACACACTATTCCTAGCTAGATTGTATCATGAATTACAAAGTATAATAAACTTGAAAGTAAAATACATTTAAAAGTCAAAACTACAAGACAGTTAGATTAAATTTGTTAACTTGATAAAACAAGAGTTCATACGGAAGAAACCATGTACAAAATGAAATTATTATGAACAATTTAATCAAGTTCAAAGCTGACTCAGAATGGTCTCTCACAAGTAATAATGGGATCAAGTTCCTCTTCCCCCCTCACATTCTGGGCATAAAAAGAAAAAAGAATAAATCAAACACTTGGGAGAGAAAAGATCCTACTTACCAGCCCAATACACTGTCCAACCCAAGGACAGTGATGATCAAATCGCTCCACACAATTATTACATATTGAGCAATGTGAGCATCGAGGAGGCCTGTAAAGCATGCAAGTATCACAATACTTGACCTTAATTGGAATGCCATTGACTTCAACCTCCTTAAACCGAGGCAACCGCAACTGAGGAGTCTGTCCAGCACCAACATCCAAATTACTATCCAAACCTTCTGGCTCTGGCGGATGTGCGTTGCGTGGAATTATGCCTGGATCTCGGCCAGATGTTAACAAAAGAAGAACCAAGACCTGAAAAGATTGTAGCATCAGCATAGGGTTGGAGAGAACATACTATGGGTACAAACTATGGTAAATTGGTGATACGCCTCTATCATATGAAAAAAGCACCAAAAAAAAATAAGAAATAAGAAATAAACAAGGATTGGATAGCTGGAAACAAAGCATATCATTTTGGCAACTAGTAAGCTAATCACGAATATAAAGAACTAACATCTAGGTGTAGGTCTGTAGCATATCAAAATTCACCTTTCAAAATAAATTATTTGCATGTAACAAATACAATTTTCAACTAGCAAAAAGCACTGTCCGAACTATTTTTAGCCCTTCAAATAATATGTTCCTAACTATGATACTAGAGATGGTAATCAAAGATAGATGATGAGAAAGCATAACCCAACTGTACTAAGCATGCTACCTCACATTGCATAAAATGAATATCATCAGAGCCAACTGCATCAATCTTAAAGGATCCACCCACATTGGCACCCTAAACCGTGTAGTTATTACTTTCCAGACACACAAATCATTTAAAACCACGTAGAATTCTAGATTTTTTTGGTATTATCATTGCCAACCACAGTCCAAACTATAATCAAGTCATTGTTGTAACTACAGTAGACTACCTTTAGACTAGACTATTTGACAGATTAAACAATTTTGTTTTCATGGAATGCCAATATGTTCATTTTATGCCAAGTGAATCCATTTATCTAAGCTAGAAGACAAATGAATAAAATCACACAAAAGTAAAAGGAATGTAAGCATTAGATTTTCTTTTTCAATAAAGAACCTGAAGAAAATGGAGATTTGAAGAAATTTTGAAATGCAAAAAAAGCTTCCTTGAAACCCAAAACTTCCTCTAAAATCTTTCATTTAAGTTGCAATACACGCAGGTCATAGCCAAAATACATGTGGAGTAGGCTTCTCTGTGTCCCCATAGATTGGAGAATTTCTTAAGATATGTTTATGGCAGAAGCAAGGTGCACAAAGTTTGATGGTAACACACTACATAAGCTTTCATTTGGTGTCTCTGATTAAAGCTGAATATACAGATATTCAAGGTGACATCTCAATCCATTGAGTTACTATGGATTAAGTTTTTCACTAAACCTGAGATAGTATCATGGAGTGCCTAAGCCCCACATCGAATAGCAAAGCTTGGGAGAGTATTTAGTGCTTGATTTTTTCCCCTGCTAGGTTTTAAAAGAGTTTTCCCAAAGTATTTGAGTGCTTATCAATTGGTACCATAGCTAATTTTTCCATGTCTCAGAAGGCATGTGATATGCAGGGATTGGGTATTATGGAGTGCTTAAGATGCTTGGTAGAGTATTTAAAAGTTTAGTAGAGAATTCCTCTCATAATTGCTATGGAACAAGGTTTCAAAAGTCTTTTTACAAAATTATTATTATTATTATTTGCTACATTTAATGTTAGATGAAGGAAGACCTTCCCTCCCTTAATAAACTATTGTCTTTCATCTAAAAGAAGGACAAAAATCCATGATGTTTGGCTTATCCATGGATCCGACTTGCTCATTAGGATTAGGATTGCATTAGCTGCACTAGTTAGGATTTATCACTTCTTCTTGACTATGGCTAGTCTTGCTTTGACAATTTTTTCAAATGAAGATATGAAGAATTAAAGATGTTAAAAACATGCTGTACTTAATTGACAAGTAAACCAAATCAGTTCATTTCAATCAAGTGTAAGAGGTTGAATATAGAGGAATGCTTCTCATGATTCTAATCATAAAAGATTGCCAACACAGTTGAATAACATACAGAGAAAGAAAATATTGTACATAAGAGAAAAAGACTAACATAAACTGTGAACACAACAGCAACAGCCATTATGGATATCCCCCAGTGGTCAGAAAAAGAATCCATCAGTTTTCTGGCAACAAAGACACAGAAAACTGTGACAGGAGCAACAATAAGAAAGATTGTCAGCCCCAGTGATCTCACATCTGGTCCAAATATGAACCTTCCTTGAAGAAAAAATTTCTGCAAGAAAATGATCAAAGCAATGAATAAGTACCCTCATAGTCATAAAATATATGGACACTGTGACATATTCCAAAATAACAATGCAATTAATATTTTTCTACTCTGTATACAATGTATCAAATAAACTACAAAGTAAAAGTTGAACAATAAGTACATCAAGATTCAACAGCTCACAGATCAAAGCACAAAAGCATGGGAAGAGAGAAGGTACAATATACGTTATAGAGGCTCAAAGGCTAACAGCATTTTTTATTTTTTATTTTCAATTTGAAGAGACCATCAGAAAATATCTACCTCATGATTTCTGTATACCTTACATCTATTTTTTGTGCTTGTGTAAGAGTAGATAGGAAATAGCACAATAATTCATAGGGTATTATGTTTTGATATTTTAATTTTGCTTACTGCTTATGTATATAATAACATCATCAAATATTATGATACTACATTAAATGCTATGCCACATACTAATAACATAAAAAGATCAATAATTTAAATTCATTTTTGTTATGAAAATCTAACAGATCTCCAGCAAATTTCTTTCCAAGCACATCCTAGAGTTGAAGTGCTGGTGATTTTCTCCAGCGTAATTGTGGGAGGGAAAGCAACTGTGAGAAGCAACTAAAACTAGTGAAGCTATGTACTGGATCCAGATCATCTGCAGTTCAAAAACCACTGAATATAGTACAATAAATAAAAAGACCTAGCAGCTTGTACCCAGGATTTCCTGTACCCCATGTTTGTTTCAGTATTTTATTTAAAAAAAGAAGATATATATGTATGTATATATATATATATATATATATATATATATATATATAGTAAAGATTCTCTAGATTTTTTTTTTTAAATGCAAAAAACTTTGATCCCTTCCCACTTTTACCAGAGCAAATAAAGCTTTGGAACCCTTTCACTAAGACAGTAACAGTTTAAAAACAACACCAAAGTCCAATCAATACTCGGTTCTAACGTTGTACTGTAAACAAATCAGCTTAAACCTAACACATCAATCAAACTAAGAAGACCAATTGATGTTGTGGTTTCTGGGTTACCATCACTGGTCATTTCACTAACACTGCTTCAGAACCTGACAGTAATGCATCCACACAAATCCATCCATTTTCTTTACAATATCGAATCTAAAAGTCAGAACATAACCTTATCACCTAGAACCCCTTTCCAAATAGTAACACTCCTAGCCCAAAAACCAAATATCAGTACAAATTAAATCCACACAAAGAAAAGATCACAACAACCACCAATAATAGAAAAGCTACCAAAATTAAGTACTTGCAAAACAGGGAAATTTTCTGACAGCCGAACTGTGACACGCCCAATTAACAAATTCCACAAGTAATTTCCTTTTATTAAGAAAAAACAGTTAAAACTGACAAGACTTCAATACAATTGCTTAGGTGATTTTCATGCAGCTCTCAAGTCAGAATCGGAGTTTCACTTTCCTTATATAATTCATGTTGACCTTTAATAAGCTTTTATGACGACGATTACCAATATGAAACGAAATTCTAATCTTTGATTGAAAACCAGCAGCACAGGTACTTAAAAATACTGCATCTAAGTCTTGTTGAAGCAAATAACAAAAAATAAAGTACTAAGTGAAGCTCACATTGCTACCCTTCCAAGCTTGGTAGACCCGCAAATCACCGGATCCTGACCCCGGATCGGAGCGTTGCGGCGGAGGCACCACGTACATGTCGTCGAGGCAGGAGTTCTCAAAAAAGCTCTCTCAGTTGCAGTGATTTCAGAAACTGAGTATCCAAACGGGAAAGCGAAGAAGAAAAGGCGAAAACTTGAAGGGTCTCTAGGGTCCGAATTGAAGAGGTATGGGCGAATTCGGAGACCCTTTTGGACAAAGTTTCCGGCGAGTTCAGCGGGTCGGGTCGGGGACTAGGCATGAGAAGTTGGTTGGGAGGGAACAGAAGGAGGTGCTGCAGTTCAATGCAATGCAAGTAAGAGTTTTTCTACTTTTTTCTTATGGTTCTTATGTCTTATTTAGATTAAAAAAGAAATAACGATACAAAAGAAATTCAATATGAGGAATAGAAACAAAAGAAAAATAAAATAAAAATATGCATTATGAAGAGGAATAAAAATACTACCTATTAATTGATAGTGACTGTGGGACTTGGTGCCTTTAAATCAATATTTTTAGTTGAATTATTTTTCTAAAATACAAGTTAGTTATTATGAAAGTTGATGAATATTGTGTACCAATAATGTTGTGTTCGCGGATAATTTCGTTAACAAATATATTTTCTTACAACAAATATTTTATTTGGAATCATTTTATTCATGACTCTATATATGATTCAATTTTAAAAATAAGAAATGTAAAAAAAAGTAGTAAAAAAAATAAGTTAAAATGCATAAAATTTATAAGAAAATGAAATTGTTGAATAAAAGACAATAAAAAATAAAATAAATAAAGTATCTAATATAAATAATTGAAGTATAAAAAATAGTGTCTAAACATAATAAAATCAGGTAAAAGTATTATAATTGTCCATATATTATGATAGTAAATTATAGAAAATATTTATAAGTTTTTATCATTAACATGTAATAAAAAATAATATTTGTAGAATTATTTATTTTACATTATTTTTATTTATTGACGTTATTTGTTGATAAGTAATAAAATAATTTATTTGAGAAGATAAAGTGCCATAAAAATAAATTGAGATGTGATAATATTATAATATATAATTGAGTATAATTTTTATTATATCAAATTATAAATAGAATTTTTATTATATCGAATAAATTTGTAGGATTGAATGGTGTTTATATATTTTTAATAATAAAAGAGTTAGATATATCATTTTTTTAAATTTATGAGTAGTTAGGATATGTATTCTATAAAACTCACTTGTATTAATGATTGAAATATATAAATATCTATTTAAATCTTAGATAAAAAAATATTTACATATATTATTATTATTATTATTATTATTATTATTATTTGATATTTATAAAATATAAAATCTTTTATTTTCTTATTTATTTTATTTTTAGATTAGGTTATATATGAATTATTTAAGGATCTTTTAGAATCTTAAACTTTTTCTTATTATATATTTCTTGAAACTCAAGTATTTTACAAGTAAGAGAAGATAATCTCATTATCAAGTTTACACTATATTAGAAAATTTGAATTGACGTGAGAATAATTGACTACATTAAAATTAGGAAAATATAGGAAGGTATGAAATTAGAGATGAAATAAAACAAATTAAATGTTCATGACAAGTTGGTTTTATTCGAGTTTAACTTAGTGACCATTAAACGTGTTGAGAAATATTATGTCTATTATAATAATATATAATTGAGGATTATCGTCTTTATATTTAGGATTGAATTAAGTTTTATAACTTTTACTTATATTCCTTATCAAATTCATCATATGATCATAACTCATATTTTGGAAATATTATATTTTGAAATATAACATGTAAATGAATATGTTTTATAACATCAAAACTACAAATTATTTAAAAAATTTAAGATAAGAAGATTCTATATCATTTAATACTTGAATAAACGAGATATTATTTATATTCAAAGTAAACATAATAAAAAAAAATTGAGACTTTATCACTATGTGTTACTCTAATTTTGGTTAAATCTTAAATTTATTTTAAGAATCTAGGTACGAAATATTAATGTTTATAACTTAATTTCATTTTAAAATTTAAGTTTTCTCAAATTCTTTATTGAACTATAAATAATATCATCAATTCTTTTTGTCCTCAAAACATATCATAACTTTTTCTTATTATTAATATTAAAGAATATGAGAAAAGAAAAAATGGGAAGTTTGTGTATAACAAAAAAAAAGTTGTGTATAATTTGGAAACGCCTAAATATGTTAGTGTAATTTATTCGAAAAAAAAAAAGATTATCAATAAATAATGTCTTTTAGAGATGATTTTTCACCACATTTTCGCAAAAATCATTGTAAAGCGAAATATAACTTTTAAAGTTAGGGTAAAAGTTTTTCCCATTTCTCCTTTTTTTTCCTTCTCATTGAAATGAGGTAGTCATTGTTTGAATTGGAAATGAATCTCAAATAAAATAAAATTATTTTGAATATTTTTTATTATTTGAATATTACTTTGTTTAATTATTATTATTATTATTATTATTATCTATAACAATATAAAAGGGATTTTCTGTATCATCCCTTTAATATTTTATTTATCTATAATTTTATTTTTCATTTTTACTATATAATTGATAAATTAATTAATACAAAAATTATTATTCCTGTCCCAAAACATCCTTAATACATAATTTTTTTTGTCATTTTTCTCTCTTCTTAAAATTTCCTTAATTATTTTTTTTTCTTTTTACCTTAAATATATCATCTTAAATTATAAATAAAAACACTATTTTATAAAAATAGTCATAAAAAATGCAGCAAAAACAATCCCACAAATCACGGGATCCTGAACCCGATAGGAGCGCTGCGGCGGAGGCACCACGTACATGTCGTCGACGCAGGAGTTCTCAAAAAGCTCTCTCAGTTGCAGTGATTTAAGAAACTGAGTATCCAAACGGGAAAGCGAAGAAGAAAAGGCGAAGACTTGAAGGGTGTCTAGGGTCCGAATTAGAGAGGCATGGGCGAATTCGGAGACCCTTTTGGACAAAGCAGGTTGCAAAACCTGAATGATAACAACACATTGCTATGAGTACAGAGCACAAAATTAAAATATCAAAACATAATACCCTATGAATTATTGTGCTATTTCCTATCAACTCTTACACAAGCACAAAAAATAGATGTAAGATATACAGAAATCATGAGGTAGATATTTTCTGATGGCCTCTTCAAATTGAAAAAAAAAAAAAAATGCTGTTAGCCTTTGAGCCTCTATAACGTATAATATACCTTCTTTCTTCCCATGCTTTTGTGCTTTGATCTGTGAGCTGTTGAATCTTGATGTACTTATTGTTCAACTTTTACTTTGTAGTTTATTTGATATATTATATAAAGAGTAGAAAAATATTAATTGCATTGTTATTTGGAATATGTTACAGTGTCCATATATTTTATGACTATAAGGGTACTTATTCATTGCTTTGATCATTTTCTTGCAGAAATTTTTTCTTCAAGGAAGGTTCATATTTGGACCAGATGTGAGATCACTGGCACTGACAATCTTTCTTATTGTCGCTCCTGTCACAGTTTTCTGTGTCTATGTTGCCAGAAAACTGATGGATTCTTTTTCTGACCACTGGGGGATATCCATAATGGCTGTTGCTGTTGTGTTCACAGTTTATGTTAGTCTTTTTCTCTTATGTACAATATTTTCTTTCTCTATATGTTTGCAATCTTTTATGATTAGAATCATGAGAAGCATTCCTCTATATTCAACCTCTTACACTTGATTGAAATGAACTGATTTGGCTTACTTGTCAATGAAGTACAGCATGTTTTTAACATCTTTAATTCTTCATAAGACAATAATTTATTTATTGTAAAAATTGTTTTATAGCGTTATTTTTTTGTTATAGTTAGATAATAAGAGTTTTTCGTTATATTATTACTTTAGTTATGCGTAATAATTCTCACCTTCACAGAAATTATAACTTCGGTTAAGTTATTTGAAAAAAGATATATATTAGTGTCCAATACCAATAATTATATTACTATATATTATCGTATTTACCTTCATTGTTACCTACTTTAAGAAATTCAAGAATTAAGAATATCAATGGACAATTTATGTTTTTCAGTTAGAAGTGGATGGGTGTCTTGTTTCTCCACAAGCTTAGATTGATCATATGGATCTTCTCGGGTACTAAAACCATTGTCCATTCTTCATCAAATTTGGAAAGAATAATAATAAATTTTATTATTAATTTACCTATTTCTTAAGACTTAATCATTATTTTCGTTATCATTAACATACCTTTGACCACTTCATTTCTATAAAATCATATTTTAATAATAAATATTGTTATCTTTCATCGGTTCAATAAACATCACTTAACAGTGCTTGTTTTTATCCTTTTTTAAGATTTATTTCGATTAATATATTACTTCTACAATCACTGACATAGTTAAGAGAAACAAAAAATAATACATGTAGACTTAGTTTTAGAAGAAAATTAGGATTGGTAATAAAAAATGACTTAGTGTATTCTAAGAACGATTTAGTGTATTGTTTTTATATTTAGGAATGAATTGTACTAATTATAATAAAACACTTTTAAATGTTCTTACAAAAATTAGTGAAACATTATATATTTATTTTTAATTATTGGATAATTATCGTTAAAAGTTTCTTAAACTCTCTGAAAACACTTCATTTTTTTGTATTTTTATTATTGAACTGTGTTGTTGATCATGGTAGTCAAAATTATTTTTTCTTGACACGTGTGCTATATTTAGTCGCTATGCCTAACTTAGTTTTTAGTTTATATAATAAAAACTAAGTTGCTTGAAACTTTTAAAATATCAAATTATTATATTTTAGTTTTAAAAAATGTTAATAAATAAATATTTAATATTAATGTACTCATTTTTATATAATATATATTATAAAATTTATTCAAATTATAAAACATATGTTATATTGTTTATGTGATTTTTTAAAAATATTTTATTCTATAACATCTTTATTTGAAAAACATTGTAAAAAATAAGAATAATAAAATAAGTATATTTTATGGAATATACTTTCATATTGTTTTTATTGTAATCAGTAGTTGAATTTCAATAATTCCAGTATATTCAATAAAAGTTATATATATTTCATTCGTATTTTTATTTACTTCCATGGTTGACAACATAAGATTGGGAGAATGGCCAATTAATTCAGAAAAAATACAACGCTTTTGGAGAAACGAAATATTATATCTTAAAAATCTCACATTATCTAATATAAGAAAAAAAAGCCAGGGATTATATAATTAAGTTCATCATTTTATATTTTAATAAAAAACACTTTAAATATACATTTAATTTCTTTTATACTTTTATAAATAAAATGTTTTGATATTTAATTTAAATTATTATTTTTAAGAGTGCGAATATATTTGAGGTGAAAATTATAAGAAAATAATTTATGTATTGTAAGATTTGTTTTATAGCGTTAATTTTTGGTTATAGTTAGATAATAAGAGTTTTTCATTATATTATTACTTTAGTTTTGGTTATATTTGTTGGTTTATAATTAATTTAAATATTTTTGTTTATATATATAGTGAGAGATTAGAATTATTTAAAAATAAATAAGTCTTTTGCGTATTAACTCTACGTGATACTTATCGAGGAAAAGGGTATTAACTCTTGATAAATAATATATTTTATTAACTCTTCACATTACCCCTCGATAAGTACAACAATATCAAGTCACTACTCCTAGACCCACCCTTTATTTAACTCTTCACAAAAGAAAAATTAATAAGAATGGTAATATTAAACAACTAAACCCAGAAATGTCAAATCAAAAGTCAAGAGCAAAGTCATGATAGCTAAGCTGGTACTGTTTACAGTACAATCCCCTTATTACTGTGTCTCACTCAAAAATACAATAAAATATATCTTTCTTCAGTTAGTTTAGATTTACATGTTCTTCTGTATTTTCCGGTGGTGTTTGTTTCTCTGCATATTGTATTTGAATTGTGTGGTTTATTTCCCATCAGTGGAAGATGTCTATTCTCCGTTGGAGTCCCACACTTTTGATTTTATTAAAACATTATTGTTTATAAACATATGAGAAGCATGTCTAGGCTTGTCCCTTCGGGGACATCCGATAAAATTGGAACGATACAGAGAAGATTAGCATGGCCCCTGCGCAAGGATGACACGCACAAATCGAGAAATGGTTCAATTTTTTTTTCAATTTCTCTGTTTCTCTGTTTACCAGTCTTCTCAGTTTAGATACTCTCTTCTTGTGGTTTTCGTGATTATGAGCACAGTTCAAACAAGTATAATCGGAACATGTGTTGCATAGTGCCCATCCTTTTGAAGAATTTGTGTTTTCTGAAACTGGGGAAGTATTCATTTTACACTGACATAACTCGCTAGTATCATATCTTTGTAGTGCAGGTTTCATATATAACAAAAGTTGATGTTATTGAATATTTTGTCTCCTTGATGCAGCTTGTCTAGTATAAATACTGGTAAGATGGTCTTAATTCCTGATGTTTCAGGTTATTTTCACCTTCATTATTCCTCATTTTTGTGCTGATTGTCTACAATGTTGTTGGATTTATCATGGCATAGTCTCTTTGGCTGAGTGCTGATTTGATACATAATTCAAGCTTAGGTTTCATTCATTTTGACATAAATTATATGTGTAGAGAGTTTTTAGTCCATTGAACTAATTTGTTTGCTCCGATGCTCTGAGAAACTTGTACAATTTTACTGTAACTTTCAGAAGTTTGAGAAAGTTTAATTAATTAACTGAGAAATTTTTATGATGGATTTTGTGCTAATTGCTTGAAAAATCCTCAAATCCTCATTTGATACAGGATGATTTCGTTCACATTTATGAACGATCTTCCTTTATCCTTGTACTTCTGTTACTTCTTGTATGATGCATTTATTGATGGAGATATATTCTTTGGTAAGCATGCCAGTCCAGTGCACGGTTTATTTAAATTATATGTTTTTATATTTATAAATAAATAAAAATCAATTGAAATTTATTATTATTTGTTTATTCTTCAGCTAATAATGATGAAGTAATATCTCTATGAAATGTATAAATTAATAACATTAAAAATAATGGTTTTAACGTGCAAGTTTCATTAAATTCACCATTTCAGTCCCACATAGGAAGAGTCTAGAACAGAGCATCTGTTTATATATCGTGGTGATGCACCAACGGTCACGACCTTACTTGAACAGGATCTGTTCTATAGGCTCGTACCTCTGTATCCTTGAGATCAAAGGAGACAGGAACCAATGTCTGGTGGATGAATTCTGACCGTGCGATCTGAGCGTGATTAACGGCTTGATGTCATGGCATCTTGGCTGTAGAGGATCGTTCCTAGCCAGTTTGGCCTTGGGATGGTCACGCGGTTGTCTGACAGACCCTTCAATCAATCTTTTTTAGAATACTATATTTAAAATTATACACTATTTCCATAAGAATAATAAAATATGGTAATTGGAATAAAAAAAGTTTCTTCACTCATGTTCGTATTTTAAAAACTCTACAATTTTAATAGAAATTCAGTACTCCAATTGAAAATAATGTTTTATATATGTATAAAGTTTTTCAATCTACTAAATATATTTTTATATAAAAAAACTTACAATTATTATTTATAAAACATAAAAATTATTAACAAGTATTTCATAATTGAGAGAAATGGTTTTTAAATAATTAAAGTAATTATATTAAAATATAGAATTTATAATTGCAACTATTACTTTAAATTTTTATTTTAAATATATATAATAATTATTATTATATGTAATTACCTTAACTACATAATTGAAAATAATATAATGACATCTATTTAAAATAATTTTGATTATCTTAATATATATATATATATATATATATATATATATATATATATTAAATTCAAGTCAAAAGTATATGTAACGAAAAAAAATATATACTAAACTAATCACCTCACCTAAATTAAACATGCAAATTAATCAATACAAAAAACTTTTAATCATGTATAATTAACATATGTACATATTAATAATGAAGTTAATTGAATGACATAGATCATACTTTTTAAAATATTAAATAACAAGCCTAAATTTACATTAAAAATTAAAAAATAAAGTAAGAAGTTATATATATATATATATATATATATATATATATATATATATATATATATATATATATATATATTAGGATTATTTTACCGTAAGAACTATTGAGACAATCATTAATCAAACATATTGTTTTCCACACCATGAAATATTCTTGGTCTAATATAAACACATTAAAATTAATAATTTAATTATTGAAAATATATTAGATAGATAATTTTTCTTGAGAAATAAGACTATAAACACGTGTTATTTATAAAATAATTTACACAATACTCTATTTTCATTTTTACTAAGTATAAAACATTATTGTTCAATATATTTTTTATTTGGTTATTTTATTTTTTTATTTAATCTCATCATCTATCACTTTTTACTCATTTTTATTTTTTTTCTTTAATCCAAACAAAATATTAGAATTAATTTGATCTAAGTTTTGGTAAATAATGACTTAAATAAGTTGAAATAAAATAGATTTGATTTAATTTAATTTATAATTTTTATTTTACCTAATATCAATTATTTATACCCTTAACTTATTTTTACACCCTTTGAATTTATATATAATTTACTGAAAGACACTCAATTATGATCCTCCTATTTGGTAAATAAACACTTTCTTCCATTCTTAATACAAGATACTTTTAATGGTATGAAAGAAAGTAATTAATTTAGATAATGTTTTAAAAAATTCTTAATAATTACCAAATTAGCTTTTATTATTAATGATTTTAAAATTTTATTTCATTATTTAATTATACAGAACATAAATGCTCATAATATTTAATAATAGTAAAATTTAATAAAAATTACAATAAAATATCACTAATTATTTTTAAATTTATTTTATAATAAAAATAAAAGGTGAGTACATATTTAAAGTAACCTCAGTTGACTTAAGAAGAAAGCATGCGTCACCGACCCCACTAACCTTAAATTGAACACTCAAGGGAAAGAGAGCATGAGAGACGAATGTGGCTTATAAGAAACAGGACACACCTTTCGAGAGAAAGTACATGACGCCATTAGACATGCACCTCATCGTACAAACAAACTCTTCTCCTTACCCTACACAATTTCTTTCCAAGGATACAAATAAACGTTATTATTATTAGTGGAATTAATTAATGTCAATTTTATTTTATTTATTTATATTACACTACCCACTCTCATTTTGCAAATTCTTTTCTTTTTTGCCAAGAATCTGCAGCAACCCACATAGCATGGCTGTTGTAACGTGTGTGATGAGAGAGTGGGGCAGATTCCGTTGAGATCCGTGTGTGAGTACGCATTCATATTCTTCTTCTGTTCTGTTCTGGGAATTCAATTGAATTGAATTTCAAAGAAACCCTTTCCTTTGTGGCTTTCTCTTTCTTCTCTGTGTCTGTGCCCGCCGTTTCACGTTACTGGGGGCACTGAGAACGCAGGCAATTAAACGCTACGTTTTGGTTCGGAATTCTGATAGATGGGTAGCTGTCCTTGTTTCGGGTTGAAGAAGAAGAGCAACGTGAAGAGCGCCAAGGCGCGGGACGAGGAAAACAAGAATCGCAAATCTGCAGAGAGTAGCAATGATGTGTCTGAATGTTGTTCAGGTTATCTTCTTTTTCAAAGATTCAATCTTCCGAAAATAATTTTTTATTTGTATAATTTTTTTAATGGGTTTGGCACTGTTCAAATTTCGTACGTACCCACTTAAATGCCTCCTTTTGAGTTTCTACTGTGCTATTTTTCACTCTAGTCAAGCACGAAGCTGTGAGTCTCTGCTTCATATGAAATGCTTTCTTTTTGGGCCTCTGGGAAGGTGAGTCTTGAGTCTTGACATAGTGATTGTTGACTGTTCTACTTTGCATGCAGTGTTGAGTAGTCCCATTTTTTTATCAAAATAATATCGTATCAGCCTTTGTTGTATAGAACCTCCTGCACATTTTGAAATCAATTTACTTATGCCACAGCTGTCGGCTACGAATTCTGCTAGGAAAAGAACCCATCTCCCTCCTTTTTATAGATTGATTTTTCAGTGGCCCTGTTTTCATAGGAACTGGTTATAGATGCAATTTTTCGTGGTTATTGAGCATCCTGATCAACAGAATTTCCTTCCTTCTCTACCATTACCCTCTTTCCCTAGAGGGGAGATAGATGTGACTGTGAGTAACTGAGTATATGCTTTTATCAACTCTGGGGGAACCAATTTGTCATCTGTGTTGCTTGACATTTCCCTGCTTCCCACATTGAACGTCCCTTGTTCTTTCAACTCTCAGTTTTGTTTAGAAATTCATTTTCATGATTTTTTACATAGATGATCATGTGTGTTGCACTTGTTAAGGAAAGCGCTGTCAATTCATTTTGCATAATTAGTTTTTAGGACCAAATGTTATATTTTTTATGCATCTCTTTAGTAATAATTATTTAGGGTTTTAAACTTTTACAACAAATTAATACATAGTTTTAGAATATCAATATCTTCTGTCATATGGCACATAGTTACCTTTACAGTGGAATACTATTGTTTGCATACTTGCAGAAGTGGTGTAATTCATTTTTGTGCTCACATCACAGCAGTTTCAACATTACCTTTTCCTTTTGGTTGTTGAATTTACCTCTCGTCATGTAACCAACCACACTTAGTGGGAAACAAGCTTTTGCTGCTGTTATTGTTGATGTTGCGTTTACCCATCTTCCACAATCCTACTGGACTGAGGATCTTTCGAAACTTCCATATCTACTTATAGTTTAAGTAAAATGTTTTGATAGGGTAAATGTCAAAGTAATATTAGGGATGGACATCGTAATTGAGAATTAATCTTAAGTAGCGACACAAAATCATCAATCCCTGCTCACTGAACATAATAAAGTTATATCTTCAGCTTAGAGCACATAAAAAGTATCAATATATAAGTAGACTCTGGATAAAAAAATATAGTTTTAGACTCCCAAAACATATAACCAGAAGAAGGATAGAAAGCTCTAATGAGTTTATGTTTTCTCTAATACTGAATATCTTTTCTTTTTTTCATTTTTGGCTTGTTTTAGATATTTTTTCTTATGTTTTGTTCTCTCCTTTATTTTTTTGTGAATTGTTCTTTTATCTAAACAATGTTGTAGTAGTTGTCTAGTGATCATGACTTACTTTGATACAGGAAATGGACCAGAAGAAAACCCAAAAGAGGATGGCGAAAGTCCTCATAAGGCTCGGATATTTACCTTCCGAGAGCTTGCAACAGCAACAAAAAATTTTAGGGATGAAACCTTTATTGGGCAAGGTGGATTTGGCATTGTTTACAAGGGAATAATCGGGGAAAATCAGGTATACTTGATGAATGGATTTTTTTGTGTGCCATTTCTTCGTTTACAATATCCATCAGTATGTTACATAACTGTGCAATATAATTCTTTTAACAAGGCACGGGATTTGATCAGGTTGTAGCTGTTAAAAGACTTGATACTACTGGTGTCCAAGGAGAGAAAGAATTTCTGGTGGAAGTTCTCATGCTTTCCCTTTTACGGCATTCCAACCTTGTTAATATGATTGGTTACTGTGCTGAAGGGGATCAACGGCTTCTTGTGTATGAGTACATGGCTTTGGGTTCCCTAGAATCTCATCTTCATGGTATAATACGAACGCAACCTTTTTCTTCAATTTCAAATTGCAATCAGTTACTAGTTCCTCCACGTATCCTTTTCTTCGCAGCCCCATGAATTGAAGGGATCTCTGTAAAGGTTTGGAGTTTTCCACTACCTGAAAGGATGAAATAATATACAATTCATGAAGTTGGCACAAGTTAGACTAAAAATTTTCAATAATGCCATGTTTAGTATCACATATTAATTCTTTATAGCTAATGTAACTATTACTGTATCTTCTCTTTGCTTGGCGTGCTTCTTTATTCACCAAAAGTAACTTTATCTATATCATAATCAACCTCTTTGCTCCAAATAGCTGCCACCTTAGTTGTTAGAATCGCATGATTCAATATGAATTGTCAAGCCCGCTCGCAACTGCATTATGTTAAAGTAACAGTACATATATGCACAGAGGATTAAACTAAATAATGTTGATAACAAGAAGGCAGAAAATAGAAGTTAACGGCACTCTCATTTTCTTTTAATTTCACAATGTTTTTCCTGTTACTCAAATGAGTTGTTTCAAGTATTTATAGGTAAAATGTTTGTCTCTTCAAATTTCAAAAGTAAATCATGATACCTATTAAATAGGTTTGCAGCCCATATTTCTTGGTTATGTCACTCATGCCTAAAACCATTAATACTATTTTAGGAATACTAAACGATTAATTTAAGTTTTACAACACATTATGTGATGAATTACAAATGTCTTTAAATCATGTGATATACATTAATCAATTGGTGCAATGCAACTCCCTATTATTGATTCTTGAATCATAAAGATTTTGCTTTGTAGTTAAGACGTTTTGGTCAATTTTTTATTTACATTACTTTTCGTTGTATCTTAAATATTTGTTTATGGTCATTTGCAGATGTTTCTCCTGATGAAGAAGCACTTGATTGGAATACCAGAATGATGATAGCTTGTGGGTCAGCAAAAGGACTACGTTATCTGCACGATGAAGCAAAGCCCTCTGTGATATACAGGGATCTTAAAACATCCAACATTCTCTTGGGTGAAGATTTCCATCCAAAACTTTCTGATTTCGGGCTTGCAAAATTTGGTCCAACCGGAGATCAATCATATGTTGCCACTAGGGTCATGGGAACCCAAGGCTACTGTGCCCCTGAATATGCCACTAGTGGAAAATTAACGATGAGATCTGACATTTACAGTTTTGGGGTTGTGTTATTGGAACTAATTACTGGACGCAAAGCATACGATGATAACCGTGGCCCTGAAAAGCATCTGGTAGACTGGGTAAATTCCTTTATTGATCATACTTTGTTCCATTTCTAGCCCATGATGAATGACACACATATTACTCTCTTTTTTCTCCCAGTTGAATAAGACACCTTCTAAATATATCAGATTTGCTTTAACTTATGCATTTCCTCCGCCGTCTCAGTGGAATGCTATATTCACTCTTGGTTTTTTCTAAGTTTTCGTCATGTGCTTGAAAGAGGAAGAAGCTGAGTTATTAATCAGATGTCGTTAATCAATGACTGTGATGGCCCTCTAATGTTGAATAAAGGAATATAATGATATCCTTATAATTAGTGAACTTACAAGTCCAATTTGCGTGTGGTATAACCCTTGTTTCAGAATATTACATGATTTTTTCACTTATATCCAATTGGACTAAATGTTATCCAATGTCTTAATTTTGAGAAGATAATCTAAGTTCATCATCGTTTAAGAAATCATAATTTGAGAATGCATAATGGTTACAGTTGGCTATGTCAAGGTTGTTTTTTCAGCATATTAACCTGGCTTGGGTTTCTAACGTCTGTCTGTAGGCACGTCCAATGCTTAGAGAAAAAAGGAGTTTCGGAAGATTGGTAGACCCACGGCTTCGAGGCCAGTACCCAGGATCTTGTCTACCGATGGTCATTGAATTGACAACCATGTGCCTTCGTGAAGAGCCACGTCAACGGCCTAAGGCAGGTGATATAGTGGAAGCTCTGGAATTCTTGTCATCCAAGCAATACTCCCCAAACGTATTCAACACAGTCAACACAACTGAGGTGGAGAGTGGAGCGTCCCCAAATGAAACGACAGCGATTTTGCCTAAAGAATCAACCAGAGAGAGAGCTGTTGCAGAAGCCAAGCTGTGGGGGGAGACATGGAGGCAGAGACGACTAAGTGAGCAAAGTAGTCCTGAGGAAGCATATAAGTTGTGATTTTCTGTTCGTTCTCTTGTTTGCTACATTCATCATGATACCAAAGAAGACTCAACATATACTTCAAGTGCAGTAGAAAGGGGACCTTTGATGCAGATTGGAAGTGGCTGGTGTCTGAAAAGGTATAGGGAAAGTAAACAAACTTCAAAAGATAATGTGTTCAGGATTTAAAATGGTGCTTAATAAGGCTGGTTGGCCAACAATTTTTAAATAGTGCTGCTGTTTAGGCGCTTGTGAACTTGAGGCTTAACTTGACATGCTTTGACATGAGTTTTCAGATTACATGGTTGCTCTTGCTTTGCTACATTGAAAAATATGATAAATTACCAGTACTTCTATGTTAGACATACTTAGTTGCTGGAGCCTGGAAGCAAACACAACTTTTCTTTAACAAAAATAAATAGCAAATTTTGGATTGCTGAATTTTTCTTGTGTGCAACATGTATGGCATTATGCTAAAGTTTTTCTCCAGTAAAGTCTACATATATGTTCAGGTGTAAATTCCTAACAAGCTAGCTGCAGACTCTAGAGGAATATTAAACATGTATACATACAGTTCAATTCTAGAGCATAGACATCTCAGGCGCGTATTATGCAGCTGTCAGCTGTTTGGTGACAGAAACCTTTAGATATATTAAAGAGTTGACATGTGAGCATTTTGAACATGGCTCATTCAATCTTATCACATGCAAAGGATCGAGCATATATAGCAGGTATATTACATAAAATTTTGGTGATATTTTCATCCTTACTACTTAATAAGTGGATGAAAATTGGCCACTTCGTAGATAAATAAATGCTATATTTTGTTCTATCACCCTAAAGGAGATTTCCAAGACTTGAGTCAGAGCATTCGCGTGTGTTACCCTGTTTGGTGATGCTTGAGGTCTATTAATAGACCTAGAATTGGTAATGATCTTGACATCTTCAGGGATAGTGAATCACATATGTTGCTATTGTTACTTGCCTCCCAAGCCACTGAATGCCATGACCTATGAGAGTAAGATCATGAGAGTAAATGACGAGTAAGATCGTCCACCAATTATCTCCCAATAGCTAACTTGCTTAGCCATATATTGTTGATCAAGGTACATCAGAAACTTTCTTAGGGTATACAATTCCTTACCATCATGCCATCATAGCAATGAGACTTAAAACATAAAAAAATAAAATATTGTTATGAAACTTCCTTAGGATTCAATATTCAAATGAGAAATAATATTAGTACAGACATGTTTAATATTTTTCAATGTATATTTTTAATTATTTTAGAACTTAGTAAAAAATAATTATATTATCATTTTTTCTTGTAATTTTATTTTTAAAATGGATATTGTTCGTAAATAGTTATAATTGATCAAATGATGTAGTACTTGAAACAATAATTTTTGTCAATTTGAAACAAATTGAGAAAATTTAACATCATTTTGTGCTATATTTATATTATTTGAGTGTCCGTTTGGTTGCTCAAACAATGTAGTATTAGTAATTTGATATTATAAGCTCCCTTATCAAGTTGTTAGTTGACATTCAAGCAACAAAGTGTAAAGAAAAGATAATTTTATAGAAGAGATAATTAACGTGATATATATCTTGTTTAAGTATGTATGTTATATTTAAATAAATTTCAAAGGTGTTTCTTTTTAATTATTAGCTTATGTTTTATATTATTGTTTATAATTATGATAATTTTATAGATTTAGAAAATTAATAAAATGAGTTTAACAAATCTATTGTATATTTTTTCTATTTAAAAGGATTTATATGTATGATTTAAATCGGAACATAATCGTGTTTAGTTATTTAATTAATTATATATTTCGATTTTGTTGTTAATTTATAATTTATGATTTAGGTAATTTATAATTTACAGTAATGAAGTAGGGTTATATCAGAAGGCTTTGGAAACTTTAGTAAGAAAAGACACAATAGAAGATGAGGGAAAAAAACGAGAAATTCATTATTTAAAAAAATATTATTTCATTTATTAACCAAATGAAGTAATTTACTTATTCAGTAATAAATTAGTGGTGTGAAGGGTAAAAATGTGAATTAGAGAGTGTCAATTTGATTATAAATTCTGTTGCAAATTCAAAAAATAAATATATTAAACTAATTCAATTAAGAAAAATAAATAAATTTCTAGCCAATTTTTCTCAATATCATTCTTCTTTTTTCATGTTTCCAACAATTGAGGTTGTTTCAAAGTCTCAAATTACACAATTTTCTAGCCAACCCAGTTTAGATATATTACACTCAATGACGATTAAGAGTACATTTTGTCAAAAAATATCAACAAACAAATTCTCAATTAAATTGTCCCATGTTTTACCTTTTTTTTTTTGTTTAATTCAAACTTTATTGACTAATTTCATGGTCTTTAGTTCAATGTATTAATTACTCACACCAACATTCCAAATATAAGTGATATATAATTAAACTGGTTTTAACCGGATTGGGCTTGACCTAGCCCATTAGGAGTGATAGATTAAAAATATTTGGGCTGCAGATAATAATTTAAATTTGTGTTATTTGATCCGGCCCACAAAAGTGATGATAAAAATATTAAATTTCGGAAGCCCCTCAACGTATCAGAGCCTGGTTTCGATCCAGGGACCTGTGGGTTATGGGCCCACCACGCTTCCGCTGCGCCACTCTGATTTATTGGTTATATAATATTTTATTATAAAATAAAGACAAACCAAAATTGTATCATTTATTTCCATTTTCAATCTATTTCAGATATATGGAAGCCATATTTTCTAATGTAAAAAATAATTGAATTCATTTGTAGTACTATATTCTTTAAAAAGATAAAAAAAATAAAAAACAAAATAAAATATAATTTTTCTAAAAGTTAATTAGTTTATACGTAAGATTAAAAAAAAGCTTCCACACATTAACTTATATATATGCATGTTAATTTAGTTTATAGAGAAACTAGTTTTTTTAATTTTGTATACTTTTTTTATGAGTGCTTATTAGAAAAAAATACTCAACTTAAGAAAAGATATATAGAAAAATAAACCTATTATTTAATTTCCAAATGCATGGATATAGCCTTTATTTTGCTTGTTTTTTGCGAATACAATGCTCTAAGTCTCCAACTGCACTGCATGATTGTTAAATTATTTCTCATATTATTCCTATGTATAAAATAATGTGAGTGCATTTAAGCTTTTAATAATTATATAATGTTTGCATGGTGAAGAATATTCAAGTGTAAGGGAGTTTGAGGCTTTTGAAAGCACAGTTGAAACAAATTAATATTAAAATAATAAAAAATATTCAAAATAAATATATTTTTTTAAATTCATTTCCAATTCAAACAATGACTACCTCATTTCAATGAGAAGAAAAAAAATGTGAAAAACTTTTACCCTAACTTTAAAAGTTATATTTCGCTTTACAATTATTCGTGTGAAAATGTGGTGAAAAATCATCTCTAAAAGACATTATTTATTGATAATTTTTTTTTTCGAATAAATTACACTAACATTTTTAGGCGTTTCCAAATTATACGCAACTTTTTTTTTATTATACACAAACTTCCCATTTGTTCTTTTCTCATATTCTTTTATATTAATAATAAGAAAAAGTTATGATATGTTTTGAGGACAAAAAGAATTAATGATATTATTTATAGTTCATACCTAGATTCTTAAAATAAATTTAAGATTTAACCAAAATTAGAGTAACACAGTGATAAAGTCTCAATTTTTTTTATTATGTTTACTTTGAATATAAATAATATCTCGTTTATTCAGGTATTAAATGATACAAAATCTTCTTATCTGAAACTTTTAAATAATTTTTAGGTTTGATGTTATAAAACGCATTCATTTACATGTTATATTTCAAAATATAATATTTCAAAAAAATGAGTTATAATCATATGATGAATTTGATAAGGAATATAAGTAAAAGTTATAAAACTTAATTCAATCCTAAATATAAAGATGATAATCCTCAATTATATATTATTACAATAGATATAATATTTCTCAACACGTGTTAAACTCGAATAAAACCAACTTCTCATAAACGTTTAACGTTTAGTTTGTTTTATTTCATCTCTAATTTCATACCCTTCTTTATTTTCCTACTTCAAAATTTCTAATATAGTGTACACTTGATAATGAGATTATCTTCTCTTACTTGTAAATAAAAAATAAATAACCTATTCTAAAAATAAAATAAATAAATAAATAAAAGATTTTATATTTTATACATATCAAATTATAATATTATAATAATAATAATAATAATAATATATGTGAAGATTTTTTATCTAAGATTTAAATAGATGTTTACAATCTTTCAATCATTAATACAAGTGAGTTTTATAGAATACATATCCTAACTACTCATAAATTTAAAAAATTGATATATCTAACTCTTTTATTATTAAAAATATCTAAACACCATTCAATCCTACAAAATATTATTCGATATAATAAAAATTATATTTATAATTTGATATAATAAAAATCATACTCAGTTATATATTATAATATTATCACATCTTATTTTTTTATCTCTCAAATAAATTATTTTATTACTTATTAACAAATAACGTCAATAAATTAAAATAATGTAAAATAAATAACTTTACAAATATTATTTTTTATTATAGGTTAATGATAAAAACTTATAAATTTTTTCTATAATCTACTATCATAATATATGAACAATTATAATACTTTTACCTGATTTTATTATGTTTAGACACTATTTTTTACACTTCAATTATTTATTTTAGATATTTGTATCTATTTTATTTTTTATTTTTTTATTTTTTTCTATTTTTTATTCAACAATTTCACTTTCAATCATTAAATTTATGCATTTTTACTTATTTATTTTACTACTTTTTTTACACCTTTTCTTTTACATTTTTTATTTTTAAAATTGAATCATATATAGAGTCATGAATAAAATGGTTCCAAATAAAATATTTGTTGTAAGAAAATATATTTGTAAACGAAATTAACCGGGAACACAACATTATTGGTTCACAATATTCATCAACTTTCATAATAACTAACTTGTATTTTAGAAAAATAATTCAACTAAAAATATTGATTTAAAGGCACCAAGTCCCACAGTCACTATCAATTAATAGGTAGTATTTTTATTCCTCTACATAATGCATATTTTTATTTTATTTTTCTTTTGTTTCTATTCCTCATGTTGAATTTCTTTTGTATCGTTATTTCTTTTTTAATCTAAATAAGACATAAGTAGGCATGGCAACGGGCGGAGCGGGGTGGGTTTTGCCTCCCAGACCCCGCCCCGATATTTTTAATCGTCCCGTCCCGCCCCGATCCCATGGGGTTAAAATTTAAGTCCCCATCCCCGTCCCAGTTGGGTTTCGGGTTTCCCGCCACGCCAGTCCCAGTTCTATGGTATTATTTTAAAAGTAATTATATATAAATTATAATAAAATAATTTAAAATTATTATTTTTTATATTTTATTTTTTATAACAAATAAATATAATATTATAATTTTTAGAATATTATTATTGATTGAGTGTATATTTTAATTTATTACGTTTATATTAAAATATTTATGCATAAAAAATATATTTGATCATTCTTTTTTTCTTCTTATTATAAGTTGTTAATCCTTTAAAATTATTAATCCTTGTAAACAATATATAATAAAAATAAGTTTCAACTAATGATCCTTTTAAAATAATTATGAAATACATCTAAAAATACTAATAAATAAGTAAACAAAGTTTCTCATGGAAAATAATATAAGAAAACTGCATAATAATGCATAACCGTGCATAACAATACATATAAGAAAAATAACAAATATTGGATAATTTAATGATCATCCTCCAAATGAGCAACAATGCCACTTGTCCATCAATTCACCTACATAATTTAAAATAAAATATATTATTGAAAAGAGAAATAAAATATTAAAAAATAAATAATAATATTTTTTAATAAATAAAATAATACCTTCATCACTCTGAATCCATCTCATTAAGTAAAATAGCATAGTCATCAATTAGTTGAGAATTCACACCACCTAAAGATAAAATATAAAGAGAATACTTGTTAAAATCTAAAAATACAATCATTAAATATATATTTAAAAAGGTATATAAAACATTACCGTTGTTTTCAGCACTCCATAACCAACTCCTAGCACACATCAAAGCCTCTAGAGTAGTCCAATGAAGTCTCATGCGATGGGGGCTTAATATTTGACCACTAATACTAAATGCAGATTCGAAGCTACTCGTGGAGATAGGGATAGCTAATACATCTTTAGCAATTGCTTGAATTGTTGGGTATTTGACTCCATTCAACTTCCACCACATTAGAATATCAAAATCAGTTTTTCTTGGTAAAACCTCTTCTTCTAAATAATGGTCTAACTCTGTTTTAACATATGTATTTCTTGCCCTTTTTTTTCTCAAAATATACCTGTCATACTCAGTTAATGCATCACCAAGCAACATTAGTACCATCCCTTGTTGGAGACTCGCCACATGTGTCTTTATTCATTTTTGTTTGATACTCGAAATCAAGTCATAACATAATTGACGAATCATCCTAACTTGCAAAAAGTATTCATGACCATACAACTTTTCATAATAATATTCAAGTAACTCCATCTTGTATCTAGGATCCAAAACGAGTAGCGACTCCCATAATAGCATGAATCACATTCCAATACTTATCAAATTTGAACAACATGTTCTCGGACATTTTTTTAATCACTTCATTTGGAGATGCAATCCACTCGATCAATGTCAATTTAATCTCACATATATTGGGAAAATACAAATTAGCAGTTGGATGTTTAGTAGCGAGAAAATAATTCCGTTATAAAATTGAACAATTTCAACCTTTCACAAACATCTTTTGCAAACTCGCCATTGTAAACTAGTTGGCAAACAAGTATACTCGAGAATCTCGTTGCTTCAATCGATTAAACACATCTTCATATATTATGGCAATTTCAAGCATTTTGTATGTTGAATTCCATCTTGTTGGACAATCTAAAATCAAGCTCCTAGTACAAGAGATGCGCAATTGCTTTGTCTGTTTCTTCAAACTTTTCTTTCCTCTTAGGTGTTGCAGACCAATATGCTACACTACCCCGAATTTTTTCAATCTCATCTTTCACTACCTCTAGCCCATCTTTGACTATCAAATTTAATATATGAGCACAACAACGCATGTGAAGTAAATCTCCATCTCTCAATAAAGTGTTAATTTGCAATTTACCCTTAATTTTTTCAACCATAGCATCATTTGTAGTACAATTATCAAGAGTGATAGTGGATAATTTTGTATCAATATTCCAATCCATCAAACATTCAACTAATGCATTGCAAAGTCTATCACTTGTGTGAGGAGCTGGAACATAAATAAACCTAAAATAATAATATTCACATAAATTTAATCAATATTCAATCATTTTACCATACGAAAATAAAATAAAAATAATATAAAATATGACTAAGAAAGTGATTTGTTACCTTAAAATGTGACTCGTAAGTTCCAAGAATCATCAATATAATGAGCAGTGACAGCCATATATCCTCTTTGTTGATTACCTGAAGTTCACATGTCTGATGTTATAGCCACTCTTCCTTCAAGGCTATCCAATGACTTCAAAATTATTGATTTCTCAGAGTTGTAAACTTTGAATATTTCCTTTTTAATAGTATTTCTAGAAGGAACTTGAAAAATTGGTTGGAGAGCATATGAGTATCTCTTGAAACCAATATGATCTACAATTGAAAGTGGATATTCATGCATAATAATTGCATGTGCAAGTTCTTTTCTTACATGTTCTGCATCATAAATTCCTGTACCCAACTCTTGTTTACCTTGCATAACTTTAGGGGTAAGAAATATTTGCCCTTTGTTCCCTCTAGTAGAAATCTTGAATTGAATACAATTATCATTGTGTTGCCATAGGTGTTTCGTTCCATTTTTTTATTTTCCTCCCAAAAGTTTCTTACAATAATTGCACTGAGCCTTGTCCTCTCCATTAACTTGAATCTTTCGAAAATGTTGCCAAATCTTACTTTTAAGCCGATTTGATCCCAATGATATAGTCTCATCATGCTCATTATCTCTAGTTACTGGTGGGACTTCATTTGGTGTAGGAGTAGGACCCTCAAGGTTAGAATTTTCTTTTAATAATGATTCATGCATACTTGCTTGTGTTGTTTCATTATTTTCCATTGTATATAAAAAAAATCCCTACCACCATAAACAAGACATGTATTATTGATTGCCTAAAGATAAAAAATCTTCTGTTTATTTCTTCTAAAATAAGACTTAAATTGATCATAAAAGATAAAAAAATATAATTAGTTAATTAACATAAGATATGATATATGATAAATAAGAATAGTAAACCCAGAAAACATGATATAACAAAAACCTAATAAAACCAAATTAGAAATAAAATGATACATTGATGTACATATTTAGAAAAAGATAAATAAACAAAAAATTACCTTATGCGTTCGATAAACTCGGTTGATAATACTCGGAGAAGTTGATCAGAGAACTCAAACTAGTTAAAGAGATAGGAGAAGCCAAATGTGAGTTGAACTAAGACTAGTTGTGAAGAGATTCAAAAAGGCAAAGAAATTCAGAATAAATGGAAGTAAAGTGAAGGAAAGGAACACACTACGTAATGAGAAGATAAAGGGTATTATAAGAAAACAAAAAGGGTAATGTGAAAAGACTAAGAGTAATAAATAATGTGAAAAGATTAAGGGTAATGTGAAAAGACTAAGGGTAATGTGAAAAGACAGAGAGTTATATATCGGGATTTAAATTTAAATATAATTAACATTAAAAAAAGAAAAGAAGACAAACGGACAAATAGTTAATATTTTAGAATTTAGGTTTAAATATAAAGTCGGGACGGGACGGGACGGGGCGGGGTGGGGATTGCATTACCCATCCCCGCCCCCGAACCCGATTTCTTAAAGCGGGGAAAACCCGAACCCGAACCCGAACCCGGTCAACTCGGTTTTTCCCCATCAACTTCGGGGCGGGGACGGGTCGGTCCCCACGGGGACGGGTTTGATTGCCATCCCTAGTGATAAGGTTATGTTCTGAATTTTAGATTCGATATTGTAAAGAAAATGGATGGATTTGTGTGGATGCATTACTGTCAGGTTCTGAAGCAGTGTTAGTGAAATGACCAGTGATGGTAACCCAGAAACCACAACATCAATTGGTCTTCTTAGTTTGATTGATGTGTTAGGTTTAAGCTGATTTGTTTACAGTACAACGTTAGAACCGAGTATTGATTGGACTTTGGTGTTGTTTTTAAGCTGTTACTGTCTTAGTGAAAGGGTTCCAAAGCTTTATATGCTCTGGTAAAAGTGGGAAGGGATCAAATTTTTTTGCATTTAAAAAAAAAACTCTAGAGAATCTTTACTTAAAAAAAATACTGAAACAAACATGGGGTACAGGAAATCCTGGGTACAAGCTACTAGGTCTTTTTATTAATTGTACCATATTCAGTGGTTTTTGAACTGCAGATGATCTGGATCCAGTACATCTGGCTTCACTAGTTTTAGTTGCTTCTCACAGTTGCTTTCCCTCCCACAATTACGCTGGAGAAAATCACCAGCACTTCAACTTGTGTTTGGAAAGAAATTTGCTGGAGATCTGTTAGATTTGCATAACAAAAATGAATTTAAATTATTGATATTTTTATGTTATTAGTATGTGGCATAGTATTTAATGTAATATCATAATATTTGATGATGTTATTATATACATAAGCAGTAAGCAAAATTAAAATATCAAAACATAATAGCCTATGAATTATTGTGCTATTTCCTATATACTCTTACACAAGCTCAAAAAATAGATGTAAGGTATACAGAAATCATGAGGTAGATATTTTCTGATGGTCTCTTCAAATTGAAAAAAGAAAAAAATGCTGTTAGCCTTTGAGCCTCTACAACGTATAATGTACCTTCTTTCTTCCCATGCTGTTGTGCTTTGATCTGTGAGCTGTTGAATCTTGATGTACTTATGATTCAACTTTTACTTCGTAGTTTATTTGATATATTATATAAAGAGTAGAAAAATATTAATTGCATTGTTATTTGAAATATGTTACAGTGTCCATTTATTTCATGACTATGAGGGTGCTTATTCATTGCTTTCATAATTTTCTTGCAGAAATTTTTTCTTCAAGGAAGGTTCATATTTGGACTAGATGTGAGATCACTGGCGCTGACAATCTTTCTTATTGTTGCTCCTGTCACAGTTTTCTGTGTCTTTGTTGCCAGAAAACTGATGGATTCTTTTTCTGACCACTGGGGGATATCCATAATGGCTGTTGCTGTTGTGTTCACAGTTTATGTTAGTCTTTTTCTCTTATGTACAATATTTTCTTTCTCTGTATGTTATTCAACTGTGTTGGCAATCTTTTATGATTAGAATCATGAGAAGCATTCCTCTATATTCAACCTCTTACACTTGATTGAAATGAACTGATTTAGTTTACTTGTCAATGAAATGCAGCATGTTTTTAAATATTTAATTCTTCATATCTTCATTTGAAAAAATTGTCAAAGCAAGACTAGCCATAGTCAAGCAGAAGTGATAAATCCTACCTAGTGCAGCTAATGCAATCCTAATCCTAATGAGCAAGTCGGATCCATGGATAAGCCAAACATCATGGATTTTTGTCCTTCTTTTAGATGAAAGACAATAGTTTATTAAGGGAGGGAAGGTCATCCTTCCTCTAACATTAAATGTAGCAAATAATAATAATAATAATAATAATAATAATAATAATCTTGTAAAAAGACTTTTGCAACCTTGTTCCATATCAACTATGAGAGGAATTCTCTGCTAAACTTTTAAATACTCTACCAAGCATCTTAAGCACTCCATAATACCCAATCCCTGCATATCACATGCCTTCTGAGACATGGAAAATTTAGCTATGATACCAATTGATAAACACTCAAATACTATGGGAAAACTCTTTTAAAACCTAGCAGGGGAAAAAACCAAGCACTAAATACTCTCCCAAGCTTTGCTATTCGATGTGGGGCTTAGGCACTCCATGATACTATCTCAGGTCGTGTGAAAAACTTAATCCATAGTAACTCTATGGATTGAGATGTCTCCTTGAATATCTGTATATTCAGCTTTAATCAGAGACACCAAATGAAAGCTTATGTAGTGTGTTACCATCAAACTTTGTGCACCTTGCTTCGTCCATAAACATATCTTAAGAAATTCTCCAATCTATGGGGACACAGAGAAGCCTACTCCACATGTATTTTGGCTATGACCTGCGTGTATTGCAACTTAAATGAAAGATTTTAGAGGAAGTTTTGGGTTTCAAGGAAGCTTTTTTTGCATTTCAAGGTTTCTTCAAATCTCCATTTTCTTCAGGTTCTTTATTGAAAAAGAAAATCTAATGCTTACATTCCTTTTACTTTTGTGTGATTTTATTCATTTGTCTTCTAGCTTAGATAAATGGATTCACTTGGCATAAAATGAACATATTGGCATTCCATGAAAACAAAATTGTTTCATCTATCATATAGTCTAATCTTAGTGGAAGTCCCACATCGTCCGCCTCATGTCATTTGGTATAGTTTAAATACATGTTAGGTTACTCCACATATTGCCAATTGGTTTTATGTTGGAACCTTAATAAGGTATCATAACTAAAGCCTAACTTTTTTCCAGTTGTTGTCTTGGGCCAAAAAAAGTTGTCCTTTCATTGGGTCAAAAGTACTCTTTGCCTGGTTCGGTAAGCTTCTGTTGGAATAAATTAGAAAATATATGTAATCATTATACCTAAGGTAGGAGGTTGAGTGTTAGATAATCTCTGCAGGGGGTTGAGTGTTAGATAATCTCTGCACCTAGTTCTGAGGAGTAATCTAGGACTGTGCATTTAATGTAATCTCCCTATTGTATCAGTTTTTATCTATATAAATACAGAACTATGAGAGGGGTTCTTCAAGCCCTCTAAAAACACTTTTTCTCAGTTTTTGAATATCAAGTTGGTATCAGAGCCAAAGCCTAACATCTTTCCGGTTATTGTCATGGGCCAAAAGTTGCCCTTTAGTTGGGTCAAAAGTACCCTTTGCCTGGTCCGGCGGGCTTCGTTGGAGGGGGTGTGTTGAAAGTCCCACATCGCCTACCTCATGTCATTTGGTATGGTTTAAATACATGTTAGGCTACCCCACATATTGCCAATTGGTTTTATGTTGGAACCTTAACCTTTTTTTTTTTTTTTTTCTCAATCTATGGAGGGTCAAAATTCATGGGTAATTGACTCTGGTGCTTCTGATCATATATCTGGTAATATCTCCTTGTTCTCAACCATTTCCTTTCAAGAAAAACAACATTTCATAACCCTTGCAGATGGCTCTAAAGCTTCCTCAAAGGGAGTGGGCCAAGTTTCTTTATCTCCCTCCATAAGCCTAAACTCTGTCCTTTTTATTCCTAATTGTCCTTTCAATTTGATTTCCTTAAGTCAGTTAACCAAAACCTTAAATTGTTCAATAACCTTCGATAACAAATCTTTTGTTATACAGGAGCGTGGTTCGGGGAGACAGATTGGAGAAGGATATGAAGCTGGAGGATTATACCTTTTTGGTCCTCGTCCACGTGTGTCCTGTGTTGCTACTCCGAGCCCTAAAATGTTACATGATCGGCTTGGCCATCCTCATTTGTCAAAATTAAAAAGAATGTGTCCTGAACTTAGTGGTCTCCAGACCTTAGAATGTGAGTCATGTCAGCTAGGGAAACATGTTAGATCTACCTTTCCTAAACGGTCTCAATCACAGTGTACTTCCAGTTTCTCTATTATCCATTCTGATATTTGGGGACCCAGTCGCATCTCATCTTTTGGTTTTCGGTATTTTGTTACATTCATTGATGAATATTCACGATGTACTTGGGTTTATCTTATGAAAGATCGCTCTGAATTGTTACCCATCTTTACATCCTTTTTGAATGAAATTAAGAATCAATTCAGTCAAGTAATCAAAATTTTAAGAAGCGACAATGCTAAAGAGTACTTCTCATCCACCTTTTCTACTGTTTTGAGTTCACATGGAATATTGCATCAGTCCACCTGTCCTCATACACCACAACAAAATGGTATAGCAGAAAGAAAAAATAGACATTTGGTTGAAACTGCACGTACTCTTTTGCTGGGTGCTCATATTCCTGTCCATCACTGGGGGGATGCCATCTTAACTGCATGTTTTCTTATTAACAGGATGCCATCTTCCTCTCTCAGTAATAAGATCCCTTTCTCCATTCTATTTCCAAATAATCCTCTCTTTCACACATCTCCTCGAGTTTTTGGTTGTGTATGTTTTGTTCATGATATGTCTCCCGGGTTAGACAAGCTTTCTGCTCGTGCTATCAAATGTGTCTTCTTGGGCTATTCCCGCCTTCAAAAAGGGTATCGGTGTTACTCTCCTGAAACCAAGAAGTACTACATGTCTGCCAATGTTACATTTTTTGAACAGACTCCTTACTTTTCTCCTTCTGTTCAAGATGTTCATGTCATACAGCAGGTTCTTCCCATTCCAGTAGTTGAGTCTAATATTTCCAATGTCTCTATCGATCTCCGTAGTGATCCAAGTCTTCCTGAACCATCCTCCCCTCAAATTGATGTTGTCAATCATAGGACCCCGATGGCTAGTCCTGTTCTCCAAGACGAGGGTGAATCCCCCACTTTAGATTCTTCTCCAACATCGCTTCCTACCATGACTCCTGGTGGAGGTGATTCAGGATGGCCCATTGCTCTGAGAAAAGGTACTCGTTCCACTCGAAACCCACATCCTATTTATAATTTTCTTAGCTATCACCGGTTGTCGCCTTCCTATTGTTCCCTTTTATCCTCAGTATCTTCTATTGCTATTCCGAGAAATGTGGAAGAAGCACTTGATCACCCTGGATGGCGACAAGCCATGATTGCGTAAATGCAGGCTCTTGACCATAATGCTACTTGGGAGCTCGTTCCCCTTCCACCGGGCAAAAAGGCAGTTGGTTGCAGCTGGGTATATGCTGTTAAAATCGGCCCTGATGGTGCAGTTGATCGGCTCAAGGCTCGGTTAGTTGCAAAAGGGTACACTCAGGTTTATGGCCTTGATTATTGTGACACTTTCTCTCCCGTGGCCAAGATGACCACTATTCGTCTCGTTCTTCGCAATGGCTGCCATTCGTCACCGGCCACTTCATCAATTAGATATCAAAAATGCCTTCCTACATGGTGATCTTGAGGACGAAATTTACATGGAGCAACCTCCTGGGTTTGTTGCTCAGGGGAGTCTCGAACTAGTATGCAAATTGCATCGTTCTCTATATGGCCTCAAGCAATCACCACGTGCTTGGTTTGGAAAATTTAGCTCCATTGTTCAAAAATTTGGGCTAAGACGCAGTGAAGCAGATCATTCAGTCTTTTATTGTCATACATCTCTGGGTAAATGTGTTTACTTAATAGTATATGTTGATGATATAGTCATTACATGAAATGATACTGTTGGAATATCTCAACTGAAGGAGTACTTGTGCAGACATTTTCAAACCAAGGATTTGGGAAGCCTAAAATACTTCTTGGGCATTGAAGTAGCTCAATCAAAAGATGGAGTTGTAATCTCTCAGAGAAAATATGCTCTTGATATATTACAAGAAACAGGTATGATTGACTGTAAACCTGTAGAGAGTCCTTTGGACCCAAATAAGAAATTAACAACAGAAGAAGGTGAAGTATTCTTTGATCCAGAGAGATATAGGAGGCTGGTCGGAAAACTGATTTATCTCACTATTACAAGGCCTGATCTATCTTTTGCTGTTGGAGTGGTTAGTCAGTTCATGCAGACTCCATGTGCTGGTCATTGGAATGCTATCATTCGCATTTTAAGGTACCTTAAAAAGGCTCCCGGACAAGGATTGTTATATGAAGATAAAGGAAGCATTCAGGTCACTGGGTACTGTGATGCAGATTGGGCAGGTTCACCTGTTGATAGACGGTCTACCACTGGATATTGTGTCTTCCTTGGAGGAAACATTATTTCATGGAAAAGTAAGAAACAGAATGTAGTGGCTCGATCGACAGCTGAAGCCGAATATAGGGCAATGGCGTCACTAACTTGTGAACTTATATGGGTAAAACAGCTCATTCAAGAGCTTAACTTCTGTGATATCCAGACTATGAAGATGTATTGTGATAATCAAGCTGCACTCCACATTGCATCAAATCCCGTATTTCACGAGAGAACTAAACATATAGAAATTGATTGTCACTTTGTTCGTGAAAAGTTGTTGACAAAAGAAATATGTACCGAGTTTGTTGGATCAAATGACCAACTCGCAGATGTGTTTACCAAGTCCTTAAGGGGACCTCGGATTGAGTTCATTTGTTCCAAGCTTGGTACATACAACTTGTATGCTCCAGCTTGAGGGGGAGTGTTGGAATAAATTAGAAAATATATGTAATCATTATACCTAAGGTAGGAGGTTGAGTGTTAGATAATCTCTGCAGGGGGTTGAGTGTTAGATAATCTCTGCACCTAGTTCTGAGGAGTAATCTAGGACTGTGCATTTAATGTAATCTCCCTATTGTATCAGTTTTTATCTATATAAATACAGAACTATCAGAGGGGTTCTTCAAGCCCTCTAAAAACACTTTTTCTCAGTTTTTGAATATCAAGTGCTTCGTTTGAGGGGGTGTATTGGAAGTCCCACATATTGCCAATTAGTTTTATGTTGGGACCTTAACTGTAGTTACAACAATGACTTGATTATAGTTTGGACTGTGGTTGGCAATGGTAATACCATAAAAATCTAGAATTCTACATGGTTTTAAATGATTTGTGTGTTTGGAAAGTAATAACTACACGGTTTAGGGTGCCAATGTGGGTAGATCCTTTAAGATTGATGCAGTTGGCTATGATGATATTCATTTTATGCAATGTGAGGTAGCATGCTTAGTACGGTTGGGTTATGCTTTCTCATCATCTATCTTTGATTACCATCTCTAGTATCATAGTTAGGAACATATTATTTGAAGGACTAAAAATAGTTCGAACAGTGCTTTTTGCTAGTTGAAAATTGTATTTGTTACATGCAAATAATTTATTTTGAAAGGTGAATTTTGATATGCTACAGACCTACACCTAGATGTTAGTTCTTTATATTCGTGATTAGCTGACTAGTTGCCAAAATGATATGCTTTGTTTCCAGCTATCAAATCCTTGTTTATTGCTTATTTATTATTTTTTTTGGGTGTTTTTTTCATATGATAGAGGCATATCACCAATTTTCCATAGTTTGTACCCATAATATGTTCTCTCCAACCCTATGCTGATGCTACAATCTTTTCAGGTCTTGGTTCTTCCTTTGTTAACATCTGGCCGAGATCCAGGCATAATTCCACGCAACGCACATCCTCCAGAGCCAGAAGGTTTGGATAGTAATCTAGTTGTTGGTGCTGGACAGACTCTCAGTTGCGGTTGCCTTGGTTTAAGGAGGTTGAAGTCGATGGCATTCCAATTAAGTCAAGTATTGTGATACTTGCATGCTTTACAGGCCTCCTCGATGCTCACATTGCTCAATATGTAATAATTGTGTGGAGCGATTTGATCATCACTGTCCTTGGGTTGGACTGTGTATTGGGCTGGTAAGTAGGATCTTTTCTCTCCCAAGTGTTTGATTTATTCTTTTTCATTTTATGCCCAGAATGTGAGGGGGTAAGAGGAACTTGATCCCATTATTACTTGTGACAGACCATTCTGAGTCAGCTTTGAACTTGTTGAAATTGTTCATAATAATTTCATTTTATACATGGTTTCTTCCGTGGGAACTCTTGTTTATCAATTTAACAAATTTAATCTAACTTTCTTGTAGTTTTGACTTTTAAATGTATTTTACTTTCAAGTTTATTATACTTGGTAATTCATGATACAATCTAGCTAGGAATAAAGTGTTAGCTGAATGGGTGTATGTATATGATAGAAAGTGGGTCAAATTATGGATGACAGTGATATCTTTTGATGGAAAACGGTGTTAGGTTTTTAAGAGATCTGATTCTCTCCCGGAGTTCCCAAATGCAAAGATAACTATTCTCCTTCTCAAACCTTTTATATAGGAAAATCAGCTCCTACCTAATGAACCTATCAAATTTCTGTCCTGTAAGTGAACTTATATCACGGGAAATTTATCTTCAAGTTGCACACTCTATAGTTTTGTGCCTCATAAACTGATAATACAAATGTCTTATAGGGAATTTAGGATAATTTTAATATTCTTTTGTTCAGAACCTGTTGGGAATGGTAACAACCGATATGTCATTTATTAATATTACTGAGGACAATTGCTTCCCTTGCCTCCAATGAACCAAAAAGAATATCCCCTCTTTAACAGAAATTCACTTCTATTAATTGAAAAAATTCAGATAAGTTTGAAATGGAACTGAATTAAGACAATAGATCCCCTTTGCTTCTCATTGGTGTTTTAGGCTTAGTTTTCTTCAGCCTGCAGCTTAGATTTGTCTTCATTCTCAGTGAGTGCTTCATTTTCTTTATTTTTTTTTTTCTTGTATTACTTTTCAGTTGTCAATTGTTTTGTGTCATTCTTGAATATGCTTAATGAATTGTTTGCACATTGTTATGCAGCGTAATTATCGGTTCTTCTTCATGTTTGTCTTCTCAACTACGCTACTTTGTATTTATGTTTTTGCTTTTTGTTGGGTCTATATTGTAAGAATTATGGCGGCAGAAGAGACAACAATTTGGAAGGCAATGATAAAAACTCCAGCGTCCATAGTGTTAATAGTTTACACCTTTATATCAATGTGGTTTGTAGGAGGCCTCACTGCCTTCCATTTATATTTGATAAGTACCAATCAGGTAAGCACTGTTCTTTTTAATCCACATGCATTAGATGTAAGCTAGCTTTTAAGATGTATGCAGCATGATACTCGCTCGTTTACTCTTGCAGACTACTTATGAAAACTTCAGATACCGATATGACCGGCAAGCCAATCCATATAACAAAGGAGTGTTGAATAATTTCAAGGAGATATTCAGCATCAGCATTCCCCCATCGAAAAACAATTTCAGGGCAACAGTGCCAAAAGAACCAGCACTACCTACTCGATCGGTGGGTGGAGGGTATATGAACCAAAACATAGGCAAAGCTGGGGAGGACACAGAGATGGGAAGGAAAACAGTATGGGACATTGCTGCTGGAATTGATGATTCTGAAGCTCAATTAAACAACAATCGTGTCGCAGTAAAGGATGGTGAATTGTCTCCTGAAATCAGGACAACAGTAGACGACACAGACCGGGCTGCAATGCATCCTAGGCGATCTAGCTGGGGAAGAAAAAGTGGAAGCTGGGAAATGTCCCCTGAAGTTTTGGCTTTGGCAGCCAGGGTGGGGGAACCAAACCGTGTCACGGGAGACAGCAGTAGTAGCTTGACACATGAGAATCGTCGTGTGTAGCCAAATGGGCAAGGCCAAAGGGACTTGTGAAGATTTGATCTTAAATGAAAAAAGATTACATTGTTCATGTGGTAAGTCTACAGCAAAATTATGTGCAATATGGGGTTGTAGGTAATGCAAGGTGTTTGTTAGTATTTTTTAGGCATTCTGCTTCTAAGAAGATATTGTGTGGTGTTGTGAGAGTAAGCTTTGCTTTGATTGATGTTGTATTTTGCACCTGTAAAAGTTGCTGCAGCTCTCTCTCTCTGTGGCTGAAGAAGGCTAGTGACATGAAATATCCTGGAAGAAATCAATGATGGATCAAGCCGAATTGTTCTTACTAACTTATCTTGATGCTTGAGATAAATATAGTTGGTGAGTTAGGTTGAGAAACATAATGAGACAGATTTTCCATGACATTAATCTTTACTCTTGTTACCACTGTAGTAGGAAGATTGCATCCCATGTATAATTAATTCCACAATGTTTGTGTTACAAATACAATCCATGCTTGGAAAATAATGTTTTTATTATTCTTTTCAATCATCTGTCAGAGGATGTTAAACCATTAAGTTCAAATTTGAATTAGTAGTTGAAAAGGAATTCTTTAAGATAAAACTTGGATTCACTTGTCCTTAAATTTTATCTCTACATGAAATACTGTATGTGTAAACTACAAGTTTTTTTAATTGATCATGAAACATTTTTGTGCATTAGTTGTATAGAAACCACTGTTGAATTTTTTTAAATCTCTCTTTTTCCTGATGAATGTTGTTTCATTCAACCATGACAAATGAAGACAAATTATCATGCATTACAATGGAAATAAATACATTTAAAGCAATGAGGGAAAAGGAATGTGAAGGCAATTCCCATGCTCAAATTGTCTTTCTTTACCTTCTATTGTGACAACCTCGACTAAGTATTTCACTTGTTACAATATTCAATCTAGATAGAACTGTAAAAACCACCACCCTTAGAAAAGAAATAATTTAATTGATATGATTAACATAATAATTTAAATAGCCTAATAATATAAATAATATACCAAAACAAAAATAAAAAAGAAAGGAAAAAAATTGTAAAACTAAAAAGGTTTATTAAAAAAAAAATATATATATATATATATATATATATATATATATTAAAATCAAATACATAGAGTTGTATTCTTTTCATTAATATATATTTTTTCTTTATTTCACTTTAATCACATAACTTCAATTTTTCACTAATTTGAATTTCTTTTTTTTTCTTCTACCTACCCAATTTGTTTCTCCCATCCCAAGACCAAACAGAACCAGAGACTAGTTAAGATTTCTATTAAAAGTTACTCCCATCAAATATGAAATTAAAATATTATTTTGTTTCATTTTAATTTAATATAAAATTCAAATAAAATAAATTAATGTTCCGAGTTTAATTTATAATCGATATTTATATTTTTTATTAGTATAGATTTATTAAATATTTATTTTAAAAAATATTTGTTATAACTTTTATATTTATTGTCATATTTTTACTTCATTTGTTCTCATATTCATAAATAAATTTCAATATTATAGTTAAAAAAAATTACAAAACACATTTGTTATCATGTTTTAATAAGTATAAATATATTATAAGTATAAATTAATTATATTATAAACACAGTTTTAAAAAATATATTTATATATATTTAGTAATTATAAATATATAACATTATATTTAAAAAACAAATGTTTTTAATTTGTTTCTTTTAATATTTTTATTATTTATTTGGATTAGCCTACATATCTAGGAGGTTCCTTCAATGCACAACACCCATGCAAAATTTGTTCCTAACATATAATTTAAAAGGAAAACCAAAAATTAATTAATACTAATAATATGCTTGTACTTCCTTCTCAGTTGCTTCAGTGCAACACAGATTGACTGCAAAAGGAATTCTTGGAAGAGTAAGTTCTGGTGAGATATTCATAGACTGCAGAGCTTCTTTAGTTGGTTGATTATCCATTTTTATTGGTATCCATTGTGCCTTCTATGCTCAAGCTATGGGGTTATCTTAGTCAAGTTTTTATAATAGTAATTTGATTCTTAGACAAATTAGATATAAATGGCTTAATTGTTTGAAGAGAAGTAGCCATAAACTTCACGGTTTCATTTAGTAGAATAATGTTTAGTTTTCTTAATCCACAAGTTTTTAGAGGTAAATTTGTTTTACCTTAAGATGTTGGGTTTGGTCCTTCCATTGTTTTTGGTTTCCTTTTACAATATTTTGAAATGACTGAAGATGTTTGTGACATCAATGTACAAAAGATGGTTGGGTTGCGAACCATTTCATTGCATTATCACTTTTACTACGTCAGTAAACGTATGTTGAAAACTGACAGGGATGTGAAAAGATAAATTGTGCGTTACATCATTACTAATATGGTAATATGAAAGAAGACAACACAATTTTGTAAACAACTACTAGTAATAGTGGAAAATGAGCAAGTAAACTCAACATCAGCAACATCAACACAAATTCCAATAGCTGTAACCGGCCACACAAGCAGGTAAATTCAGCCACCAAAAGAGGTAATGTTGAAACTGCTAGTGAATGTTCAAGCATGGAGTTACTCCTCCAGTGCAAAGGAAACAAGGAAACTCCTCTTATGAAGGAAATATGATTCATACTATGCATCATTAACATATTATTTGGAGTAATTATACACTATCTATTTGTCCCCTTATCAAGGTGACATGTTCTGAAAGTAAAACAGTGGTACCATGCCATGTGGAATACCTGCATCTGAAGAATCAATATCCCCCAGTAGCTCAATAACAATCATCGAAAGGAAACCACATTCCTGATTGACTTCACCAGCAGCATGCCCAAATTCAAATTCAAATAGAAATTCAACTCAACATTTGATTTGTGCATTCAAACTCATTCCCGTTCTTCCATCTCAGGATAGCCCTTGCGAGTCATAACATGCTTCACCTTCATCATTTGCCTATACCTATTCCATAAGCTATCCTTTATTCTCTTGTGCACCCCATCATCCTCCAATGACAAGCCACCCTCCCCTGCCGCGCGAAGCGCATCACAGACCAACCCATAAGTATATTCTCTGGGCACGAATCCGCCATCAACCAGCTCAACAAGAAACCCCCAAGCCTCAAGAACCCTTCCAGCTTCACAAAGCGCGTGAATGATGGGAGTATACGAACTCGAACCGGGAACCCCATGCCCCAATCTCTGCATCTCCCTCAACATTTCAACACCCTTATCAATCTCATTCACAGCACTATAGTACCTAATAAAAGAATCATACGTAACACGGTTCGGAACAACACCCCTGGTTTTCATGTCATTTAGCAACTCCAACGCCCTCTCCAAGCGCAACGTCTTACAACACCCATCAATTAGGGCATTGTAAGTCACAACATCGGGAACCAACCCTTTAAAAAGCATCAACCGGAAGAGACGTGCGGCCTCGTAAATTCGATGGCGCGTGGCCTTCCGGCAGCCTGTGAGCCTGCCATGACGGCAGAAAGAGCTTATGAGAATCGTGTAAGTGAAGGTGTCAGGCGGACACCGGAATCCGGGAAGCTCCATTTGCTGGAGAAGGAAACGCGCCTTAGTGAAGTTCCCCACGCGACAGAGCGCGTGGATCAATGCGTTGTATGAGTGGGTATCGGCTTTGCAGCGGAACTGTTTCATCCGGTGGAAAGTGAGCAAGGCTTCGCCGGCGAGGCCTTGTTCTCCGAGGACTTTGATGACGCACGTGACGGTGGCGGTGGTAACGTGAGGGCACTGTTTGAGGAAGTTCCAGAGGAGTTTGACTGTGTTGGCGCGGGCGAGGAGACAGGCCAGCTCGCGGCACGTGGCTTCGGTGTGGGCGAAGGCGTAGCGGACTTCCACCCAGCGGAAGAACTCGAGGGCTTTTAGTGGGCCGAGGTGGGACTTGTAGGGATCTCGGTGGGCCGCGGGGCCCAGGACGAGAATATTGTTGCAGAACTTGTGGTGTTCGAGGTTGAGGTTGCGCTGCCGCAGCGGTGTGCGGTGGCGGAAGCCGCTCTGCCGGCCAATGGAGCGAGGAGATTGGAGGGTGTAGCGGGAGATGGAGTGGAGAACCTCTGTGACGGCATCGTTTGTCCATGACGGAGGTGACGGTGATGTTGGTGGTGGGTGCGCATCGAATGGAAGGTCTTTGATTACCAACACCAGTGCTTGGTTGGCGAGGTGTTTGTGAAAATGACGCACAAGGTGTGTTGTTATCATTCAGGTTTCGCAGAAGAGTGGTTTTGCAATTTGCAGAATGCTGTGCTCTGTGCTCATAGCAAAATGTTGTTATCATTCAGGTTTTGCAACCTGCATTGTCCAAAAGGGTCTCCGAATTCGCCCATGCCTCTCCAATTCGGACCCTAGAGCCTTCAAGTTTTCGGCTTTTCTTCTTCGCTTTCCCGTTTGGATACTCAGTTTCTTAAATCACTGCAACTGAGAGAGCTTTTTTGAGAACTCCTGCCTCGACGACATGTACGTGGTGCCTCCGCCGCAGCGCTCCGATCCGGGGTCAGGATCCGGTGATTTGCGGGTCAGAAAAGAAAAAAAAAAAAACAGTTTCATGGCGTAATAATTTAATTTCAAATATAAATGTTGCCCATTAATTCCTTGTCTTTTTTCTGTTTTCCAGTCACATTTTGTTTGACTTCCTAAGTCACATGAGCTTTTTATTTTAATTATAAATATGGCATGAATTTTAAGAATTTTATATTGTTTAGAATTTATAAGCATACAAAGTAAATTGTACAATAACGTTGGAGTTAGGATGGAAAAATGGACCATTGATCCACTTTGTTTTTGCCCAGTTGCGAGATGGATATACTGATCCGTTATATAAATCTTAGTTTATTTCGATAAAGGACAAATTGGTGGATTGAGCTGCAATAATTTAAAAAATAATTTATTTTTTAAAATAATTTTTTTTAATAAATTTAATAATAAGATTATTATTTATTTATGAATAATTTTATATATATATATATATATATAATTTTAATTTAATAATATAAATCAATATATTATTTTAAAAAATTATAATTAAAAATAATAATAAAATTTATATAATAATAAATAATGACAAATATATATATATATATAATAAAATTTATATTTTTTATATTAAAAATTTAAATAATTATATTTTTTTTATTTGATAAAACTTTAAATTATTCGTGTTTTAATAATTTTTATACCTTTAATTTAAATTATAAAGATAAAAATAATTAGTAAAAAAAAATATATTTCAATAAGAAAAATATTTCACATGATAGTGAAATTTTTAATTCTTTTTTATTTTATTTTAATTTTATATATTATTTTTATGATTATCTTTATTATAATAAAAAATTATTTTTTTATTAACAGCCCTCCGTCTCGTCTAACGAATCGGACGAACTTGACGGACAGACCAAAAACATCAATGCGTCCCACCGTATTAGAGCGGCCTAACGATCCGACCCGCCGGCCCTCACCGGTTTGCCATCCCTTGAGTCAGTCTCCTCGCACTACCATTAAGGATTGATAACTATGGATGTGTGCCTAGTTAGAAGATAGCTGGAATTGGGCTCCAGGTGGGAGAGACTAGACACTCTAAAAACTGTATATGACTGATTTTTTTTGGGCCCATTTAAAAAATCCTTTTCCATAGGCATTTCTAAAAGAGAAAAAATAAGAATGAAAATGAAATCAGAATCTTTATAAACTAAATTTTACTTATGTATTAGTTAAAAATCAGATTTTGGAGGAGCAGGAGCTGGTACGGAAATAAATTAACTCATGTATAAACTAATTTTAATTTTTGAGAATCTGATTTTATTTTCTTCTCTCCTGAAGCTGTTTCTAGGGAAGTGTCCAAATAAATCTATTATCATGATTATTAACTATGCAAAGGTAGGCTTGGGCTGGGAACTGGAGAGACTAGACACTCGCGAAAATCATTGTTCACAGAATATACTGGGATAATAATTCCCTAAATACTGTCTTCGTTTTAGTCTATCTTGTTTTGCCGGTAGCTTATTAATTATTGATCGTGTGTGAGAATTGAGATTGAACTAGAGAGAGAGTGGATTGGAACATAATTCATTTAGAGTAAGCATAACTATGCCTTCTTTGAAATCCTATTTTATACAGCATTTATTTTGAAGAAGCTTATACCTTATCTGATGTTAGGACTATCCTTGTTTTTGACTTCATCCTACCATTTGTGTCTTTTCTCTTTGTGCCCCTCGTCACTGTTAATATTGCTTTTTGTGAATTTTGCTGGGCACTAACAAGGAATATTGCATGTCACTAGTTAAATGATTTGTTATCTACACCCCTTGTTTTTATCTGAAACATTTAACAAAATATATCACCAATTTTTCTTGGTCAAAACTACAGTTACAACTCCAGTTTTGACGTTCTTCATGCACAAAACTCTGTTGCATGCTTCACACTGTAGAATTTTAACAAGTTGTTGGTTATTCTGTAATTAGTTCGGTAGGGTCTACAGATCACACCCTATTTAGATTTTTAAAAAAGTATTCTTAAGATGTCCCTTATTGGCAAGGAATATGGTCAGAATACTCTTTATAAGCAAGCGTTGGAAAAATCTCCTCCTTCAAGCTAGCTTTTCAAAGTGAGTGAATCCGGTTTGTTTCTGATATGGTATATGATATCTAATCTTAATGTGGGGTCTTCCTTAGATTTCCAGTGCAGCAAACACTCTCAGTGTCAGTCCTTGGTGAGGGAGGTGTCCCATTGAATTTTGAACTTGATAGAGGAATTTGTGGTGCTGCTGAATTTGGCAAGTTAGAGGTGTTTTGTAAAGCTAATATGTGTGCATTGACTAGCTGATAGACAAACAAGACAGTTCTTCTACCTTTAATAAACTGATTATTTAGTTGTGTGTTCTGATGACAGTGAAAAACAATGAGGAAGCTAAAGTTTCACGAGAAGAAGCTTTTGAAGAAGGTAAATTTTTTGGAATGGAAGAGAGAGAACCTGGTTATTTTCCTTTATTCTAGATTAGCTTTAAGCTGACACATTTTATTGTTTGACTATCGGATCTTGGAAATATGAATGGATATTCAGGTTTATGCCATATGGTTCAGAAGTTAGTAAACATATTGAAACAAATAGACCCAAAGGATCCTTTCCGGATTGATATGACTGATAAGCTTCTAGAAAAACTGTGAGTTCATTTTTATTCACTCTCATTATATTTGAACTTATAAACATATTAATGAGCCCATTTAGGCATATAGTTTTGTTGGAGATCAAAAACTTAAACATATGACCGGGATATTATTTAATTCATATTAATAACAAACATTGTGTTTTGTAATTATACTAGCTCATATATTTCATATTTGCATTTTCTATTATTCTTTTGAAACAATTTATCATTATGGCATATAGTTTTGTTGGAGATCAAAGCTTAAAACATATGACTGAGATATTATTTGGTTCATATGAGTAACAAACATCGTGTTTTGTAATTATACTAGCTCTTATATTTCATATTTGCATTATTATTCTTTTGAAATAATCTATACTTCAATCTTGTTCTTAGACTCCTCAAATCTATTTGCGCTTCAGCCATTTCATTGGAAATGAATTCGTTTAGTTTGTATGAAATCGGATTACCTAAATTCAAATACAAATAAAGTAGCAAATTTATATACAAATTGTTGGATGGATTTCGTTAACCATTTGTGCTGTAAGTAACACACATACTGATATATGATCAAACAAATTACAAAATATGATGGAACATCAATTGATAAACTAATAAAATGAAATACTGAACACAAATAATTCATAATACAACAATACATTTGCTGTACCAGAGACAAAGTCTCCTAAAGAGAGTATTCTCTGCCTACAACCTGCAAAAAACAACACGCATCTATTATATATGCAATTCTAATTTAGTACTAATGCTGAATTACTTATATAAGATAAGTTATTTTGAATAACATACCAGATACTCCTAATAATAAATGTCTCCTCTCCAATCCATCAAATAGATTCTTCCTAATTCACTTAGATAGCAATTCCCATCAAAATATAATAAAAATAGGTGAACTTGTTGCAATATGGTGTTTTTTGTTTTCTCTTTGATGATCATGGGTATGCTAAACTTTCAAGTCGGTATAAAATATTTAAACTGATGTAACTTTTGAGAAGTATAAGTTAGCCTTACTGTTTCAAACAGAAAGATTGTATTGATTTTAGGTACCACTTTTTTATTTCTTCTTGGTATTAGCTTGTAATATTGAAAAGTAAATGTTATCAGGTATTATTTTCTTAAATGTCTTTCTCTTATTTTTGGATGACAGCTACAACATGGGTGTGATTCCAACCAGGCAAAGCATTACACTTTGCGAACGCTTAACTGTGTTATCCTTCTGTAGGTAAAAGTAACATTTTGCTGCGATTAATGTTTTAAATGAAATTTGAGTTATTAATTTTATTTGCTTGCACCTTGCACATTAGAGTGTGCAAATGAAAATATATCAAGAGCAAGAGAAAACCAAATTATCCACTTTGTTCTTTACTGGGTTGTTTATAACTTTATTCTAGTGATACCATGGTGTATTTGGCCGAGTTTTTCTATAAAGACTTTTTAGGGGAGAAAAATAAGAAGAAAAAATGAATTTTGGTTCTCTATAAGTTAAAATTATCTTATGCATAAGCTTATTTTATAGAAGCTTTTCTAACTTCTCCAAAAAAAAATTATTTTTTTTTTTTCACTTTTGTATAAGCTAATTTTAATTTAGGGAGAAGTCAATTTCGTTTTTTTATTCATATTTTTCTCTCCTAGAAGTTCTTTACAGAGAAAATTGTTTTAGAATGACTTCTTTGCATTATATTGCCCTCATTTGTTCCTAATATCAATGATTTTCTCTATTGTGCAGGCGGGGGCTCTCAACTGTTTTGGTGCGACTAAAATTTGCAGAGCACTTGAAAAAAGATGTCACATACATTGAGCAAGTTCCTATAAGAGTTGGTCCGGAGTCAGTTACAGACCCAGCTTTCCTTGTAACTAGAAACATGGAAGACTTCGTTACGTGGGTGGATTCATCCAAAATAAAGAGAAAGGTGCTTCAGTACAATGACAAATTGGATGATTAAGATTTAATGAATTAAGTGGCAGGCTTATTAATTGTGGTTTACTACATGAGTTATGGACGATTTTGTTTCCCTGGGCAGATAGTTTAGACGGGCTTCGAGTTTTTATGTTTTATTTTTTCAATTTAAAATTTATACCAGATTAAGGTGATGATGTAATGAACCGGAAAATTAGTTAATCATGATAGTGATTTCAAATGTTAAAATGTATTATGCATTTTCCAGTCCATTGTTTCACGATCAGATTAGATTGGTTCCTTTTTCCAGTTCAGTTTCAATAGTTATAATCCATCTATAATAGCAAAGCTTCTAAATAAGTAGGAATGATTGGTGGAACAAGTTCAATCGGATTCACACCAAAGACAAATTCTGCATGTCTTTCATTTTCAATTTTTGAGTTAACCTAATATATGTTTCTGCCTACGTGTCTCATATTTGCTTCTAAAAACTGAAAACTCAATCAGTTCACATTATTTGTATTTAGTTTTAATATGGGTTCTACTTTAATATTACAGGTCTATTTGAAAACAACATCGTGTGTGGTTGGCTAGACAATATCTCCATATTCAAATCAAATATAGTGTAAAAGCTGAAGAGCGTTGCTTTGAATTTGATTCGCAGTGTTTACTTTATTTCTTCCGTTTTTAATGATAAAGTTAAAAAATGGTTTACTTTTACTTTTTACTCTTCACCTACGAAGTCCATTGCAGTTTTCATGGTTTTTGATCAGACAAAGTCAGTCTTTTCAAAAGTAAATTCAGTTCAATCTTGTAACCTGGAAAAGCAATCAATATTTCTTCAAAAGAAAAAATTCCTTTATTAATTGAAGGCTTTAATTTAATGTCTTCTTACCCTTTTCAATGAATGCATTATATCAACTAGAACATTTGACTACCATAACTATTTTCATGAAGTAATTTTATACAAACACGTTTTCTTTTCAGATGAAGCACCAAAACAAAACTTCTCTTGTTCACACCTAAATGCAGAAAGCCTCATAAGAGTGAAAGCATCAATATCCTCACTAGTCAACCACTGACCACTTTTATATTTTTTCTCAAATTTAATTCAGTCTTATTGATCCAAGTTATGGCATTGGAAAACAGATAGAGGCAACCCCCATAACATAAAGAGGCAACCCCTTTTTAGGCAAATTTCTCTCCCCACACTTCATCGATCCAAGGCAGAGAAAACAGGGTACCCTCCAAATTCCACACTGCCACAGTTATCTCATCAACACAGACGTATTAACACAACAGTGATATGTATCAGAAATCAGTGCATTAATTTGTTGAATTGATTGAGACCCTTTTTCATTCCCATTTCGCTTACCCTAAACAAAGAAAATCCAAACAATAGTGGACCCCCACAACGTAAAAAAGCATCATACTTTATGACAAGAAATCTACACTTCAATTTATTAACATCAACCCGTTAAGCAGATAAAAAGAGGAAAATGAGGAATCAAACAAACCCCTTTTCCCATCCTTCGGTGTCCCCTTTTTTTTCGGTTTCATACATCACTTTAGCTTCACCTTTCTTGTCCCACACCTTATATAAACATACACACATAAAATACATTAACACCTTCCATAGATAGACCATTATACCAACATGTTTCTTCAAGGTTCAATGAGTTTTGCTGCTTTGACCCTTTTCTTGCTCCTACCAACGGTGCCTTATCAAGCACACGCATCAAGCCGTGGCTCCTTAGGCAGAAACATCAACCCTCCAGTGTATGGTATATGTACCTCTTCTGTCATTGTGCATGGATACAAGTGCCAAGAACACGAGGTAAGACCTCCAAATACGTAACTATGTCCACTATAAACAAATCATTTGCAATGGTGTTTGAAGGTATCACATTAACATATGATCAAAATAGTATACTCAAGTGAAAACTGAATTAGTTTAAACTCAAATAACAAGAGATTTAGAGTGACATGTTGTGTTGACATATTTTTTCAGGTTACCACTGATGATGGATATATTCTGAGTTTGCAAAGAATCCCAGAAGGTCGAGGTAAGGGTAATGACAGTAGAAGTAGGAAACAACCAGTGATCATACAACACGGAGTTCTAGTGGTAAGTGGGAAACTCTACATTATCTATATCTAACATTAATGTGTCGTAAATATAATGTAAAGTTTACGTGTTTTGTTAGTATTTAGGATAAACAGTTTCTCCAATGCTGTGGTAATTTTCAACGTTCAAAACTCGAAAGGTTTATGTGACAAAAAGGGTGGAGTTTCCGCGTCTGTCACATCATAAAAATGAGTTTTTTTTTTTTTTTTTATGCTATTTTAGATAAAGGTGACAAATTACATGATGCTCAAATGTGTGGTTGCTTAACCCATTATTATAAGTTACACTTTCTTATGTGACGTTACAATTAAGCAACCGAAAGTGCTTGAAAAAAAAAATCATCAGAATAGATGATTTTGGAAAAAGGGTGTTTTGTATCAATCTCCTCCAACTCTTTTCTCAATCAAATGAATAAATGAATAATCTTTATATATGTTAAATTCTAGACGATAAAACAATTTTACTTTACTCTTTAATAAAAGCATGCATTTCATCTAATTAAATGTGGGTCTCCAGCTGTTGAATTCCGCGTTACATGAACTTGATTTCCTTCATATATCTTTCAAAGTAATGCTTCCTAGGATTTTATTATTCATGATGTTTCATTATGACTTTCGCAACAAATTTTCATGATTATTTTTCCTTTACTTTTTCTTTTTCCTTTTGTTTTACTTTTTGGTATACTCCCACAATCAGCGTAGCTTCAAATTAACGATAATCCTAAAAGTGATTCTTTTCATATTATGAAATATGAAAAAGACATCATAATTGCAATAGCCAGTTTTTTTCCTTTTCAATCTAACACTCAAAACACATGAGAGTATGATGCGTGTGAATAATTTTATTCTTCTCACTAAATAAAAAAAAAGTATTAAATATTTTTTAATGATAGTAACTCCCACTCCTAGTGTTATGGCGTACGGATTTAGATTATGCAATTCTGTCACGCGAATTAACAAGTTGTGTTTCTTCCCAACCAAGATAGCATAGACACATGATCCCCACTATATGGAGAGTGCACTTTAAGATTTAGAAAATGTTGACTTTAAATTTTATTATACTCATCAAGATCAATGTCCCATTGAGGATTTTACAAGGGGTTTAAACCTCACCATTTCTATTTTAATTTGTGACTTCTGTTCATATTTAAATTCTAACACTGTCAAAGAAAAATAGTATCCCAATTTTATTTAAGAAATTAGAATGTATACAAATTAACCTAAACTTCTCCTTTAAACAACATGAGACTTATACCGGAACAAAAGATATATTTAATGATTCTTTGTATTGTTTAAAAATAAAGTTCATAAAAACTAAATAGTAAAAGTATTTTGGGGTAATTTAGTTGAAGTTAAAGGATGATTGATGATGGACGCAGGATGGTATGACATGGCTTCTGAACCCTCCAGAGCAAGACCTACCTTTGATTTTAGCTGATAATGGCTTTGATGTGTGGATTGCAAACACCAGAGGAACCAGATTTAGCCGCCGACACATCTCATTGGACCCCTCTAGCCCGGTTGGTCCTTTTTTGTTCTTTTCCTGCTTTGAGATTATGTTATCTTGTGTTTTGTGCTAAATTAACTCTTCTATGTGACAGGCCTTTTGGAATTGGTCTTGGGATGAACTTGTCTCCTATGATCTACCTGCCATCTTTAATTATGTATTCAGCCAAACGGGGCTGAAGATCAATTATGTTGGTCATTCCTTGGTACTGCATTACATTCTTCATTCCATCCTATTCTTTTATTAATTTAGTTAGAACTTATTCATAGCTTAAAGTTTTCTTAATATAAACTATCATATTTTATATATGATAATATTGTTAGCTTCTTTTATCATTATGTTCAGATGATTTCTAATTAATATTGGTGATATAGATGTCTTTATATCAATACTACTTGATTAGGAGTTATCAGTGAAAGATAAAGAGCAGAATTGAGTTCTGAAAGTGGAAAACCATGTTTGGCAGGGAACTTTGATAGCTTTGGCATCCTTCTCCGAAGGGAAATTGGTTAATCAGCTGAAATCAGCAGCCTTGTTAAGTCCTATAGCCTATTTAAGCCATATGAACACAGCACTTGGTGTTATTGCAGCTAAGTCCTTTGTTGGTGAGGTACAAGTTACCTGATAACCCTACCTCTTGTTACTATGAAATCATGTATATACTTCATTTGCTGATTCAGGGAAATGATCTTCTTTTGCCAAACAGGTCACTACCCTCTTTGGTCTGGCAGAATTTAATCCAAAAGGGTAACTACATAGAATTCACAAATTAATGAAGTTGTCTCCTAATACTTTTAAGCCATAACTATAATTCTATAATGTATACAATTTAATGCTCTCTCAACTGCATTGTATAGGTTACCTGTTGATGCCTTTCTCAAGTCTCTCTGCGCTTACCCTGGGATAGACTGCTATGATTTGTTGACTGCACTAACTGGTCTAAGTCTTTGCCCAAACTCCATGACCTGTTAACGTTTGATTTTTAGTTAAGCATTATATATTAGACATATTATGTTAGAAATAATCAAGGTTTAATATCATTGTTAATACTAGTAAATATGGTGAATGTTTGTTTTAGTTATGTATTTTTTTTTTTAATTATAGCTCTTTGTAAATTTTAAGATTTTGAAAAAACATGTGTTTATCACCATTTATTGATGAAATAGTAAGCAACATGTGTCTAATCATGTTATATTTAAAGAATGCCATGTCACAATTCATCTCAAAATGGTCAATATCATCATATGTCTTGCATGTTGCATCATCAATAAATTTATAATAGTGATCATCTAAAAAAACTTAAGAGTTAAAACTGAAATTCACCATATGTCTACTAAAAACATAGTTAAACCATAAATTAAACTGTCAAAGTTTTCTGACTATATATGAGATTGAAATGTGATGTCCTATACAGGTAAAAATTGTTGCCTCAATTTTTCAACTGTTGATCTATTCTTGATGAATGAACCTCAGTCAACATCAACAAAGAATATGGTGCACTTGGCTCAGAGTAAGATTTTCCCATCACATAACTCGTTGCTGGTATTGTGAATTCAATTGCTTTTATACCAATCAAAGAAGCTTATATTGCAATGTTTTGCAGCTGTTAGACATGGGGTGTTGACAAAATTTAATTATGTGAGACCAGACTATAATATTATGCATTATGGAGAAATATTCCCTCCAATCTACAATCTTTCAAATATCCCCCATGACCTCCCTCTCTTCATTAGCTATGGGGGAAGAGATGCACTTTCAGATGTTCGTGATGTTGAGAATTTACTTGATAACCTCAAGTTCCATAATGAGGACAAGCGCAGTGTCCAGTTCATCGAGGAATATGCTCATGCTGACTACATAATGGGGTTCAATGCCAAGGATTTAGTATACAATGCTATTGTTTCATTTTTCAATCATCAAGTCAATACTTGATGGCAAGCAAACTACATCTTAGAAAGAAGCAATGTTGTATGAAATGTGTGCCTTCTTGTACTAGTTATCACTGAGATCAATCTAAGTTATCTAGTGAAAGATCAAGTAATGGCCAATTACAAAAGTGATGAAGTTTCACTAGTGATTTGCTTTAGTGTTGCAGTGGCTATGCATCTATTGTGTTGCATTGTAATGGAGAGAAAATTGGCTATTGGCCTGAACTATCTGAGATGGAAACATTTGGATGAGATTTATCAAAAGAACTATAAACTAGCTATGTTTCCAATCATTGGAGAAGCATATGAATATGTATGTATGTATGTATGTATATGTATGCAAAGTACTCGTCATTGTCTAGATTAAGAAGGTTTCCAAATATACTCCAAAGGATGATTGAAAGCTCATATCACTAAAAATATTTCAGATGAAATATTTACACTTAAACTGCGTTTGTAATTAGCTCGTTCAGAAAACCAGTGTGTCAAGTATCGTTTATCATTATGAGCTATTTCATATTCATATTTACTAAGATTTTCTTAACCTAATCGATCTTCCGAGATAGTAATTTGGTTAGATGCCATCAAGATAAGTACCCTTTGAAGACCCATAAATCACTACTCTCTTTAATATCTATGTTCAAACCCCCTACTACTGATTATGAGCACTTATAATTCAATTCGTTCTGGGCCTATGTCCCAGTTTTGACAGCAGTACCATAAGATATTTAGATACCCTTCTTGTGAAATGCAAATTGGAAGAAGTACCCACATTACCTCTTTATGGTTTCCTTTTATTTTCTAATTGATTGTCTCCTACTCTATACAGAGGTTTAGAAGCTTCACTGAGCTTTATAGCTCCTTTACTCTTTGCCCAAAAGTACTAAATCAAAAGATGAGCAAATAAAGAATAACAGATCTTACATTAAGTTAATAAATCTCATTCTAAAATAAAATGATTGCCTCAATAAATGCGTAAGATAGATTCAAGATAATGATATTAGCCTTTCTTATACATGTTAGTTTTTTAACTATTTTCCTCGTTCTTAAGGGCATAAAGATTTCAATTGCTTTTGCTTTCCTCAGTTCCACTTTTTCTTCTGTCTTAAATATATAAGAATTTACAGATTAGATACGTGTAACCCCAACTTGTTGAGGCAAAAAATTATAGAGCTCGAAGAACATGAGAGGACTTTCATAGAAGTAACTCACTGTATTGATTTGAATGAAAAAAGATACCAGTGAGTTTGACACATGCTCTATTTATTGAGCTTATTAAAGTAGTAATTAACAACAAATTAACCAACTAAACTCTCAACATCCACAATTACTTAACAATTTACTCATCACTCAGATATAAAAACACCTAGTCCTAACCGTAACCCTGTTTGGTTCTAGTCTTCTAGATGTATGTACAATTTGATTTCCTCTCTTGTTGTGCCATTATCTATCATATAAATTAAAATTTGAGCTTCCAGACTAACTACCCCTTGAGATGATTCATGCTAACTTCGTTTGAACGCAAAGCTTTCACAACTTTTACCCACCAGAGTTTACTTGGTGGCTAATACAAACACTTGAAACGAGGAAACTACACAAAAGTGTTTTTGCTTGTCATGCAACAACTTAGATTTGATATTATTTTCAACCTACATAAGATAACGAAATAACATAACAATATCATACGTTAAGTTGTTAATGGTGGGTATAGATGTTCACCGATTGTTGGTATTTATATATATATATATATATATATATATATAGTAATGGATTTATAAGTTAGAATAACGTTCAAACATAACATAGACAGCAGAGACCCAAAAGAGAAACAGAGATGGGGCGCAAGAACACAATTTTCTTGGTACTGATTGTTGCTTTGATCACAAATGAGGCCATGGCAGAACAACATGTAGTTGGTGGAAAACAAGGTTGGGATGCATCCACAGACTTCAATTCTTGGGTTTCAGGCCAAACATTTAAGGTTGGCGATCAACTTGGTATGTTTCTTACACATAATTTCAAGGATTGAATTTAAATGCACACAATGTAAAACTGTCATTTAAGTAGATTATCATGTATACTAACCACTTTCTAAGTTATTTTTATGATTATTTCTAATTGGTTAACATTCTTTAAAAAAGACACTTTGCTTCTAGCATATTGAAATTTAACTCTAATTTAAAAACGTAAATAATGAACTGGAAAATTTTCTCCCTTCAAAATTTGCAGTTTTCAAGTACTCTTCTGGGTTGCATAGTGTGGTTGAACTTGGTGGTGAGAGTGAGTACAAGAATTGTGATCTTGGGAATACAGTGAACTCAATGAACAGTGGCAATGATGTGGTGAAGCTGAACAAGCCTGGTACACGTTATTTTGCATGTGGGACATTAGGTCATTGTGGTCAAGGTATGAAGTTGAAGATCACAACAGTGTCTGGAACATCTTCCCCTGCATCATCATCATCATCATCATCTTCTTCTTCACCCACTTCATCTTCAGTCTCACAATGCTTCAGCTCCCTTGTGTTCATTGTTGCTTTGTTGATTGTCTCGCTCCTTAACCAGTTTTGATTAATAATATGAGTTGGGTTTGTTCATGTTTTTCTAGCATGGATTTTAGCCATGATTTAATTGTCTACGTTGAAACAATTTTTAAATGACAGTGGTCATGTGATGTTTCTTTTAATCAATTTGGAATTGTTATACATAGAATGTCAATAAATATATATATATATATATATATATATATATATATATATATATATACAAAATTTTGGGGTAACCTTGTCATCCCTCGTTCCGCCTTTAGTTTTGATGAATATTCTTCAAAACAAAATCTTAACTAATTAATAAAAAAATAAAAAATCGTATTTAATATCAAACCAACAAATACTGTTAATATTGACTAAAGAAAATTCTTACTCACACTAATTAAGAAATAACATTAACCTATATTTAACAAAATACTAACCCTAATAATAATGTCTGAAAAAATAACCATGATCGAGGTTTTATACATTTACTAATGCAATACATCTAGTTTCTCATTCTTTCAATACTTAATTATTTTTACTTGAAATATTTAATCTTAAGGAAAACCTAAATGAAATCTATCCAAACATGCATTTGTTTCATCCTAAAAGGATTAAAATTTGAAATTCATAATGAAAAGTGCAACAACCCTAGTTTGAAATTCCAAGAATACATTAAAATAATCTTTTCCAAATTGTCTTAGGTAATCATAAAAGCTTATTTCTTAAGAAGACAACTTTTAACACTGAAATATATTTTGTGTCTTTAGAAGTTTTTTCCTGCAAGCAACTCATCAATAAACCTTGAGTGGATTTTATCTCTTTTAAGAATTAACCTTACACAGACATGGTTTTGCAACAATTTACACTAATAGATATTTGTTCTTCCAAATTTTACCACAGTTAAATCTCCTTTCTTTTATTGTTTGGAAATTTGAGACCAATGAACTTTTGTAGCTTTCCCCAATATACAACTCTTCTTTTCAAAATCTAACTTCTTTAGATGTTAAAAAATTTATTTATTATTGAATTATCCCATCTAATCTAATTTGAAGAATAAGACATGTACATTCAATTAACTTTGATTTGAATCTACATAATGTTTTTGTTGAAAAGAGTGAGTATTTTTTAATTTTTTGAAGTGTCCTTGGTTGAATATGATCTTTAAGTAGAATTCTTCTATCTTATCCTTCAAACTTCATTTTGGTTCTCCAAGAATGGGGCTAAGGAAATATACTATCCTTAGTAATTCACTTTGTGAGTTTTCTTGCTCATTTACACCTTACATCCTCGTTACAAATCACAACCTAATCCCACTACCCATGACCATCCATTGTTCAACTTATACTCATCAACTTCTCTTACACACAATTCACTAAAAGAAAAACCCTCACATTTTTCTTTAAGTCATCCATACCCAGCAAATACGTATTTGAGCAAGCCAACTAGCCAAAACCAAGCCATAAACTTCACCTTTGAACCAAAACCAAATATTTTCCTGTCATTTTATGATGTGAATGATGCTAATGGAATTACCCAATTGCCTTTTGTATTTCACTGGTGCATGACTGTCGGTTCCTAGATGGAGAAACAATTAATCTATGATTCAGATGAATAAGGGCCTTGATATTAAGTGGATTAGCAGAAGACAAATGCTTACAACAATAAATTTGTATAGATCTAACTCCTCTTTAATGAGATTCTTAATTTATAATTTAAATTTTCAATTAATGATAAAAGTCATTTATTAACATTTTTATGATGCATGGTTATGTGGTCAAAACATCAGTTTGCACTTTCAGTTAGCTAGTTTATAGACCCTTTTAGAGTAGCAATGTAGTGATCCAAACTAAGGTCTCATATTCATGACACTGCTACATATATACATGTTTCTGTCATTTACAAAAAAGATTACTGAAACATATATTTTAACACTATAAACGCTCATTTGACTCTTTACTTCGTATCCAGTTATGTTACTGGTCACATTATAATTTCTCGTTCTGTTTTTTCTTCTTATCAGAATCTAGACATATTATTCGTAACATTATCATTTCTCTCGTCACATCATGATTTTCCTCTCCCTTTCCTTTCTCTCTCGAGGTGTACACAAGCGTTTTTGTGATCATTGCTTATGAAAGTGCATGAGTAAACTTTAGCTTGTGCCACGTATACAACATACATTAGTTACTATGACATGATTAAGACAGAAGAAAACAGAAATTAGAACAAAACAAATGAATCTGAATACAACATAAAACTCAGGTAAGAACACTTAAATCATTAAAGAAAAAATGACTAACATTTCCAATTCCAACAAAAGCTCAAATATAAAATAGCAAATCAATAGCCGCACGGTAGATGTACAAAGCACTTCCCTGAAATCTTACTAACTTATCTTGATGCTTGAGATAAATATAGTTGGTGAGTTAGGTTGAGAAACATAATGAGACAGATTTTCCATGACATTAATCTTTACTCTTGTTACCACTGTAGTAGGAAGATTGCATCCCATGTATAATTAATTCCACAATGTTTGGAACAACACCCCTGGTTTTCATATTATTGAGCAACTCCAACGCCCTCTCCATGCGCAACGTCTTACAACACCCATCACTTACGGCATTCTAAGTCACAACATCGGAAACCAACCCTTTAAAAAACATCAACCGGAAGAGACGCGCGGCCTCGTAAATTTGATGGGGGTAGCCTTCCGGCAGCCTGTGAGCCTGTCATGACGGCAACAAGAGTTTATGAAAATCGTGTAAGTGAAGGTGTCAGGCGGACACCGGAATCCGGGAAGCTCCATTTGCTGGAGAAGGAAACGCGCCTTAGTGAAATTCCCCACGCGACAGATTGTAGGAGTGAGTATCGGCTTTGCAGCGGAACTATTTCATCCGGTGGAAAGTGAGCAAGACTTCGCCGGCGAGGCCTTGTTCTCCGAGGACTTTGATGACGCACGTGACGGTGGCGGTGGTAACGTGAAGGCACTGTTTGAGGAAGTTCCAGAAGAGTTTGACTGCGTTGGCGCGGGCGAGGAGACAGGCCAGCTCGCGGCACGTGGCTTCAGTGTGGGCGAAGGCGTAGCGGACTTCCACCCAGCGGAAGAACTCGAGGGCTTTTAGTGGGCCGAGGGGGGACTTGTAGGGATCTCGGTGGGCCGCGGGGCCCAGGACGAGGATATTGTTGCAGAGCTTGTGGTGTTCGAGGTTGAGGTTGCGCTGCCGCAGCGGTGTGCGGTGGCGGAAGCCGCTCTGCCGGCCAATGGAGCGAGGAGATTGGAGGGTGTAGCAGGAGATGGAGTGGAGAACCTCTGTGACGGCATCGTTTGTCCATGGCGGAGGTGACGGTGATGTTGGTGGTGGGTGCGCATCGAATGGAAGGTCTTCGATTACCAACACCAGTGCTTGGTTGGCGAGGTGTTTGTGAAAATGACGCAATTGTTATCATTCAGGTTTCGCAAGAAGAGTGGTTTTACAATTTGCAGAATGCTGTGCTCTGTGCTCACAGCAAGCTGCAGGGAAATCAAATGATCGAAAATAAACAATAATGTTTTGATAAAATCAAAGGGTGTGGGACTCTAACGGAGAATGGACATCTTCCACCAACGGGAAAGAAACTACACAATTCAAAGGCAAGCGAGGTTGAGTATGCAGGGAAACAACCTCCACCGGAAAATACAGAAGAACAAGTAAAAGATTTACTTTATATTTTAATGTATTTTTGAGACACAGGAATAAGGGGATTGTAATGTAAACAGTACCCGCTGAGCTACCCTCATAGCCCTATCATGACTCTGCTCTTCACATTACACCCTACTTTTGATTGGACATTTTTGGGTTTAGTTGTTTAATATTACCATTCTTATTAATTTTCTTTTATGATTTCTTTAATAAGTTGTCTTCACTATTACTTTAGTATTTTTTTTTTACTTTACATAAAACCTTTTTTTTTTCTATCCTTTTCCTCAATAAGTGTCACATAGAGTTAATACGTAAAAGAATTATTTACTTTTAAATAATTATAATCTCTGATTATATATTTAAACAAAAATATGTAAATTAATTATAACCAAAATTTATATAAAACTCACCAACTGTAACACATCAAAATGAATTAATTAAAATTATTTTAGTATTCATATTTTTGAGGATGTTTTTCAAATAAAGATGTAATAAAATAAAATATTTCAAAAAAATCACATAAATAATACAAGAGGCCCAATGGTTGAGACGTGGAATGGATGAGTAAATATATGGAAAAGGAAATTTATTGTGATAAATTATGTCATTCACATGCAAGCAGCAAGTTGTATATCTTTGGATAGAGTGGGGAGTTTCATATAAACTTGTCTATTGACAATATAATTGTTATCAAAGAGAGTTCCAATTAGACATTTTCTTAACAATGGTTGATATATCATAATATTTGTTTGGTAAATAGAGCCTATTGGTGATATTTTGATTGAGTTATTATTATATTTGATGGATTAGATATTTTTTTAGAAATTAAGTATGAGAATTAGTTTCTTGGACAAATTATATGAATATTATAAAAATTAAGAGAGTTTTAGGAATACAAGTATGAACTAAGAGTATTAATTTGTAGGAAAACTAGATTATTGGTTAAAGGGTATAATTATGAATAAGTTACATTATAACATATACAAGAAAGGAACGACTAAAGAGAGAGTTGGAGAATATTATTATGATGATTCTTTTTCTTCACAAAAGAAAAATTAATAAGAATGATAATATTAAACAACTAAACCCAGAAATGTCAAATCAAAAGTCAAGAGCAAAGTCATGATAGCTAAGCTGGTACTGTTTACAGTACAATCCCCTTATTACTGTGTCTCACTCAAAAATACAATAAAATATATCTTTCGTCAGTTAGTTTAGAAAGCAAGTAAACTTTTTACATGTTCTTCTGTGTATTTTCCGGTGGTGTTTGTTTCTCTGCATATTGTCTTTGAATTCTGTGGTTTATTTCCCATTAGTGGTAGTGGAAGATATCTATTCTCCGTTGGAGTCCCACACCTTTTGATTTTATTAAAACATTATTGTTTATAAACATACGAAGCATGTGTAGGCTTGTCCCTTCGGGGACATCCGATAAAATTGGAACGATACAGAGAAGATTAGCATGGCCCCTGCGCAAGGATGACACGCACAAATCGAGAAATGGTCCAAATTTTTTTTTCAATTTCTCTGTTTACCACTATTTAGTCTTCTCAGTTTAGATACTCTCTTCTGGTGGTTTTCGTGATTATGAGCACAGTTCAAACAAGTATAATCGGAACATGTGTTGCATAGTGCCCATCCTTTTGAAGAATTTGTGTTTTCTGAAACTGGGGAAGTATTCATTTTACACTGACATAACTCGCTAGTATCATATCTTTGTAGTGCAGGTTTCATATATAACAAAAGTTGATGTTATTGAATATTTTGTCTCCTTGATGCAGCTTGTCTAGTATAAATACTGGTAAGATGGTCTTAATTCCTGATGTTTCAGGTTATTTTCACCTTCATTATTCCTCATTTTTGTGCTGATTGTCTACAATGTTGCTGGATTTATCATGGTATAGTCTCTTTGGCTGAGTGCTGATTTGATACATAATTCAAGCTTAGGTTTCATTCATTTTGACATAAATTATATGTGTAGAGAGTTTTTAGTCCATTGAACTAATTTGTTTGCTCCGATGCTCTGAGAAACTTGTACAATTTTACTGTAACTTTCAGAAGTTTGAGAAAGTTTAATTAATTAACTGAGAAATTTTTATGATGGATTTTGTGCTAATTGCTTGAAAAATCCTCAAATCCTCATTTGATACAGGATGATTTCGTTCACATTTATGAACGATCTTCCTTTATCCTTGTTCTTCTGTTACTACTTGTATGATGCATTTATTGATGGAGATATTCTTTGGTAAGCATGCTAGTCCAGTGCACGGTTTATTTAAATTATATGTTTTTATATTTATAAATAAATAAAAATCAATTGAAATTTATTATTATTTGTTTATTCTTCAGCTAATAATGATGAAGTAATATCTCTATGAAATGTATAAATTAATAACATTAAAAATAATGGTTTTAACGTGGAAGTTTCATTAAATTCAACCTTTCAATCCCACATAGGAAGAGTCTAAAACAGACCATCTGTTTATATATCGTGGTGATGCACTTACGGTCACGACCTTACTTGAACAGGATCTGTTCTATAGGCTCGTACCTCTGTATCCTTGAGATCTAAGGAGACAGGAACCGATGTCTGGTGGATGAATTCTGACCGTGCGATCTGAGCGTGATTAACGGCTTGATGTCATGGCATCTTTGGCTGTAGAGGATCGTTCCTAGCCAGTTTGGCCTTGGGATGGTCACACGGTTGTCTGACAGACCCCTTCAATTAATCTTTTTATCATTTTCTACTTTTTAACTAATATATCTCTTGTAAAATTTATTCTAGTTCTACAGATATTTTAGTCAGAGTATTTTATGAAAGTGTAAAACAAATTCAAAATTATTTCATATTTGAAACCATATATTATTTTCATAACAAAAGTAAAATATGGTCATTAGAATCAAATAAAAAATTTCTTCGCACCTGCTCAACTTTTAAAAACTATTTATTTTTTATCTTGTGTTTTTATTTCGCTTTATTGTAGCCGCAAAAGAATATATTTTGATTTTAAGGTGTAAAGTAAAATCAAAATCATTAATTTTTGTTTCAAATGCTAAAGACTAAATACACATATTATTTATTATAAATAATAGCAGTAATATATATATATATATATATATATATATATATATAAGTGTTTATGAAAAAAATTAAACATAATTTTTAACAGATAAAATAACATAATAGTAAAATGTGAAGAAAAAAGACAGAACAAAAGAAGAACAAAAAAGATATTGCTGATATATAATTAAAGATAAAACGTATGGAAAAGAATTAATCATATAATAAATAAGTATCTCGATATCTATAAATAAATCGTATAATATAAAAAGAATATTACTGTATCATATTAAATTATTATTTAATAACCAAAATTATATATAAATAACGTTATTATCGGCCATTTAGTACTTTAAATACAATTTGAAAACTACTAAATTTAATTACATATAACACTTAGCATAAAGTTTTTTCTATAGCAACGTTTATTATAAACTCTTTTTTTAAGTCTTGTTTGAAATATATATATATTTGTTCTTTCAATATTTATTTACATAATATTATAATCGTGTTAGTTTTAGAATGGTTATTATACACGTTTGCATCATACACATTACAGCGCATAAATACGAAAGTGAAATAAAACCAATTTGGATAATAACATATTTAAAAATAGTTGTTTAGAAATAAAAAAAATATTTTATAATAAATTTAATATTTAAATTTTTTAAAATTAAAAATAATCATTTTTTAAATAATTTATATATAAAATTTATAATAACATATTTATTTCTATTTTTAAATATTAAAAAATACCTAACTTGTAAAAATATTTTTTTTAACTAAATAATTTATGTGCTAGCTGGCATGTATGACGTGGCTCTGATGCCAAACAACACCTCATTTCCTAAGAGCGTTTTTTTTTTAATGAAGAGATTTGTTTTTCTCTCTGTGTCAATCATAAATTATCGTTATTTTCATCATTTTTATATATAATAAATACTAAACACGAATTTATAATTTCACTACGTCAAGATTTATATACTGTGAATATAGAGTGTTTGAATAATGTTGTTTTAAAATTGTTAGAATTACTGAAAAATGGTTTATTTTGGAGTTTGGGTTATTACTCTATCGTAATTTTATGATGGGTTAAAAGAAGAGCCTATAATAAGTTTTGCATTTCTAAATGTCTCTATTAGTGAAACTTGGACTCTAAAATATCCTCACAATACTAATGTGTTTGATTTACTTTAATTCTCATTAAAGAAGTTTTAAATCATATACAAATTTCTTGATTTTGTCCAATATTATTAAGGTTGATTATTGCTTAATTGAGAGTATAATAATTCAATTTAGGAACCAGAGTGTTTAATTTCATATATACTATAATATCATTATTAAGAACAGTTATCACATTTAAAATATTATTTATTTGAAACTATAATATGTTAACATTTTTTCCTTAAAAAAATATCTCAATTATTAAGATGAAAAATAAAGTATATATATTATTGATCTTTAACTTTAAAATAAGGTGAGATTCATTGATATAAAAAACAATAATCATTAAAAGTTAATTCTAGAAATTTTTAGGTAACACCAAATCCTTGATATGATTAATGAATCATGTATCAAATACTAGTAGATAATGGATATTTGTTACAAATATCATAACACTTAGTATTCACTCGATAGTTAAATTTACTTAAAATACCTATTTAATATCATGATAGATATTTGTATTTTCATTCATAATAATAATATTTGAGAATTTTGTTTATTATAATCATTTTAAAGTAATATTTGACTCTAAACATTTTTGTTTGTATTATTTATAATTATGATAATTATGTGTTTATAAATAAATAAATGGTTTAGCTCTTAATAAGAATAAATTGGGAGTTATAAAGGAGGTGTTAGTTTATTTTGTGGATATTCTATTTTGAGAGATTCATATACATATTACTCTTTATGTTGTGATTATATATATATATATATATATATATATATATATATATATATATATATATATATATATATATTATAATTTGAATTTTAAAAGATTTATAAAGTAATAAATCATAATATTTAAAAGAATATTATGAATTTAATATAAATATATATAATAGAATTGTATGAATTTATTAAAATTTAAAGGATTTATATGTTTCTAAAACAACTAAACATGTTTTTAGTTATTCTTAATTTATTCATTAATCCTTAAACTTTAAAAATATGATAATTTAGTTATATTCTTAATTTTATGGTAGTAAAAAAATGTTATTAAAAATTTAAAAGAATTATAAAGAATAAATAAAATCACATTTAATCATTTTATAAACTTTATTCAGGTAAATTATGAAATTTATATATAAAAAGAAACTAAACATATATTTATAAAAGTTGAAGGATTGAACTTATCAATTTTAAAATATAATGACAAAATTTTTTAAAACATATATAAGAACTTGAAACATATTTTTCCAAAAAAACACCCATCAATATTATGTATTTTATCTTGATGAAATGCATATATTTACTTATTATCTTATTTTGTAAAATTAAACGAATTAAAATAATTTTAGTGATAGTCAATATTGATATTAATATAGCAAATACATAAAAAATTTATAATGTCACGTAATTAAGTAATTTATTATTGATTTTATTTCAATTAATTTTTTTAATTAATTTTAAGGAATTTATTCTTTTTTATTTATTTGATTTCTTTATTTTTAAAAATTGTTTGATAAAGCAATTATAAAAAAAATAAACCACATAATTATTTTTCAAGCAACTAATAATTTATTTAAGCATATGAAAAATTAAAAAATATGAAAATATTATAAATAAAAAATAGATATTATGATTTATATATTTAAAAAACAGTAAAAATATGAAAAAAGTGAATGCATTTAAAGAGTGAAAAGATAAATTAAAATAGTATTAACAAAAAATAATTATAATAAAAAATTGTGAATATGGGACCTGTGTTTTTAATAAAAAATATAAGACAATGTAGAGAGAATAAAATAATTAAAAAACATTTAGGTATTTGAAGAAAAAAAAAGTGAGAATAGTAAAATAAAAAAACGTATAACACATAAAAATAAGATAAAATGTGTATATATATATATATATATATATATATATATATATATATATATATATATATATATTAAAAATTAAAATAATATTTTTAAAATATGAATAATATAAAAAGTATGTATAAGTATAAATAAATAAATAAATTCAAACAAATCTAATACCTTAAATTTTAGGTTAAAGCAATTATTTATTATCTTATATTGATATGATTAACGATTCACGGACCACTGGACTATTATTTAGAAGTAGGTTTTGTTCCCCTCACGAAAAGTTTTAAATAATTTCGATAAAAGTGAATCCAAAAACCCTAAAGCTCAAATGATTATACACTTAAGTGGAGCATTTTTGTGGCAAAAACAAAAGAGTCGACTCATTTTCTATTATTATACACAGAAATTAGCAAGAGACAAGGAGTGCAAAGTTGTTGCAGACTCATCAACTGAGGTGGGGTGATTTTTTTTTTCTTTTTAAAAAATGTTACTTTTTTTAGTCTTGCAAAGTTGTCTTACACTCATTCACTAAGAACTTCAAGTGTGGCGAGGTGATTATTATTTTTTTCTTAAATTTTACTATTTTTTTAATTAAGTCGTTAAATAAGTTAAAAGATTTGGTCTTACTTGTCTATTAAAAAGGTTTTTAAAATCTCAATATTGAAGGTTATTGAATAACTCTTTTAAAAAAAAATCCAAATAAACTAAATTCTAAATTATATATTTATATATACAAATAAACATATTTATTATAACAAGTTAGAATTCTGGGGAATTGAATTCAGAACTTGCTTGTTGCTTTACTGGAAAACTAATCTGAATTCAATCTTCGGAAACATAATTTTGCTCAGGAATTTTATTTTGTTTTTAATTTCTAATTTGAAAAAACTAATTAAATTATTAAATTAATATTATGATATGATTTAAAAAAATTATTGTTAGATAACTTATTAGTATAAGTGTATTGATAATTTCTCATTAATTTTATTTCAAGAAAAATTGTAAAAATCTTGTAAAATCGTAAATATACATAGATTGGAGGAGTTGAAGCAGAAATCCTTTTTTCTTTAAGTTTATAAAAATGATTTAAAAGATTAAATACGTAAAGATTATTAATAATAAAATATCATATTAAAATAAATATCGTTAGTAAATTTTTATTATTTATTGTTAATATTATTTGTTGTTAATAGTATCATTAAATATTAACAATAAATAAAATTTAAAATACTTTTATTTATTGAATTTATGAAAATGCATTTAATTTATTAAATATTAACGATAATATTATGCTTTGATGTTATGGTTCTGAATTTAAATTTATTATTACATATTTACATAACAACATTAAAATTAAAAAGTTGTAAATTTTAATATTAATAATATAGTATGTAAAAACGTAAAATTTTTAAACATTCAATTAGTGCAGAGAAAAATATATTAAATTTTGGAATGAAAATATAGAATTAAAAATATTTATTTGAATTATAAAATTGATTTATTTTTCGTTTTAAAACAAAATTGCATAAATTGTTAATAACTCCAAATTGGTAATTGAATAATTGATTGAATAATTGAACATAATTTAAATGTTGATTTTTTTAATCAAATAAAGACACTACATCTATATAATAAATAAATTGAAATAAATTATAACAATGCATGAAATAGAAATATAATTGAAAGGAAACAAACATGTAAACATCAAATACACTAAAGCAAACATTCAATAAAGGAAATACTCATCCAAAGTCATATATATATAGATTAAGTTTTCCTCTTTCCAACATAATATCAATCATTTAGGTTATAAAATAAGTCCTCAATTGTTATTGTGTATAAATTATTAATATAGATAAATAAATTAATTTTGCATAACATTGATATTTGATTTTGATGAAATCATTCCTAACATTATGGTAGAACAATTCCTTTTTCGTACCTAAAATTCTAAAATACTTTTCTTCCGGTTTATCTAATTATTACCACCTACCCACCACCACCCCAAATAGGGTCTATCTATAAGCTGTTGTGTCACCACGTCATCATGTCCAATCAGTTGTGTTTCTTGGTACACCTCATGCCGCATCAACTTCATCATCTATCTTATAAAATATTATATCCTCAAATTATCATCATCATTCAATAAAACCAAAATACAAGGAAAGGAACAGTTCCGCAATGTTCGGACAATCCCACACCCTACATTTCATCTACACGGTAATGTTGCCTGGTCACAGGTCAGCAGGTACGATATAATACCCGTGCTGTCACCAACCCACTTGTCATCCGCCGCCAATGTTAACTGGTGAAGCCACGGCTACGTGTTCCCCCCTACTGTTACCAATCACCGTCACCTATGACGCAGCGCCTGTCTCTTACGCGTTGCCGATTCATGTCACGAAACAACATTAACTAAATATTCCTTTTATTAAAAAAAAATCCATTATTAAAGAGGTGTTAAGTTTATACTTTATTTAAATAATCAAACACCAATTAATAAGTATGACTTCACAAAACAACCCCACAGAAATGTATGAATGAGTTGAAACTCCACCGCTTCCAATGTTGCGGATAAATACTGGTTCATTACTAGGTGAAGATGGTGGCGAAAGTAATGATAAAACAAAATCTAACTCTTTTACTAATCAAATGGAGTTGTTGGCCTTCCTTCGTACCAAAAACATTTTTCTTATTTTTTAAATTTATTATATGGATTTTATAATCGATGTAATATAAATATAATTGAAATAGTCATGTGTGAAAGGCAACTTCACAAACAAAAATCATGCTTCCAATTTTTTTTTAAAACGTGTTTTCAAATATTTTTTTTATTTTATATTTACGTTATATTTTCAAGCAGATTTTTTTTATTATTATTATTAAAATACAAGTATAATCGCATCTCTGCTCAAATTTAAAAAATTGTTACACAAATATTATCAAAATATTAAAAGATAAAATGTTATTTTTTAAATAATTCAAAAATAAGTTATATAATATTAGAGTAAATCCAGTAAGAACTATCAAAAAATGATTATACAAACAAATTATGTTATTCATTTTATAATAATAACAAGTTTTATAATAACAATAATAATAATAAGAATTATTATTATTATTATTGTAGTTATAGTTATTATTAGGCTCAATTATATTGTTAATCCTTAAAATTTAGACTGATTTTGATTTTATTCCTTCAAATAAAAAATAAGTTTAGTGTTTAAAAATAAGAAAAATGTTTTAATCCTAAATAATAAATTGGAAAATTGATTTTCTTTTAAAATTATTTGTAGTCTTTCAAAATAGTGTTTAAACATTAAAATCACATTTATTAAATTTGAGGGACTAAATAAATATTTTTTTTATTTAAGGAATACAAATTATGTATTTCAAATTAGAAACAAAAAATATAATTAAATCTTATTATTATTTTGATTACTATTTTTATTTTTTTTATAATAATAATAATAATAATAATAATAATAAATTTAAAAAAGTGAGATTATATTTTCGAGTACGACTTTATTATTTATATAATTTTTTAAATATAGTGGAAACATTATTTAGAATGCATTACAAATATGTTATTAAAGATAATCATAAATTTGTATTGAATGATAAAATTATAATTAAAGAAACAGTTAAAAGAAGACATATAATCATCAAATAATAGGGGTAAGATAGAAAAATATTATAGAGTTACAATCACAAATTTCAATCCCTTTTTAATAATTAGTCACATTTTACCAAAATATTAAAGATATGATTTTAATTTAAAAAAATTTGAAAAAGTGATTATAATATAATTATAAAATATATTTTTTAATTTATAAAATAATTATTTAAAAATAAAATGAAAAATAATTATAAAATATATTTTTTTTATTGATTGCGTAAATCATGTAGATATTTATTTGTGGTGATTAAAGATAAAATCTTACTTGTTTATTTCCAAATTTACTTTTATTTTAAAACTTGTTGACGTTTTCTTTATTTTCTCTCGAAATATATAAATAATTTGTGATAAATCACACTTTCCAAACCAAAAAGTGTTTATTTTTTTAAGAAACAACCAAACGACGTCATATTATTGTGAAAATATATTCATTTGTTATTAAAAATATATAAAAATCATGTTGTAGAAAATAATAGAGGAATATGTTCATTATTTAATATTTGAGGAAATATGGGTGCAGTAGCATATTTTTAAATTTTTTTAAAAATTATTATTAAAATATTAAAAATATAATTATAATTAAAAAAAATAGAATTATAAACTATTGGAAAAAATAAGAAAAGAGCTGTATATACTATATAATGGTTAAAAAAAAACTAAAAATAAGACTGTAATTTAAAATAGTTATATGATATTAAAAATAAAATAAAAGATAGCTATATACACTATAAAAGATTTTTACTCAAATCAATCTTATTAAGAATATAGATAATTTGATAAAAAAATAAATCTAAAAATTGTTGGTAGAGCGTGTTCTTGGGAAATTTCATCCCACACAGCTTTTCCCATAATTAGTTAAAATAAAATCTATCATTTTTTTTGTTTCCGTTATTTTCTCTGGAAATAGATGAGTAATTTGTGATAGATTACAATATATAGAAATGATGTCTAAAAGAATAAGAAAGGAAGTTGAAATTGAAGGGTGTAAATTGACGTGAGAGGAATGAGAGAGAAGGAGGAAAATGAGGTGAAGAAAATGGAAAGAAAAAGGCTAAAAGAGAAAGGGAATATCCAAAGCATATGATGAGATGAGAGGAGAATATTCGTGGGGAGATCCGTTGGGTGAATTTGGCGAAATTGGAAGCAATAAATAGCGAACCAAACCATGCCTTAGTCCTCACCACCCCCCACCATCATCATCTTCCACAAACCACCCTTCGCCTTCTCCACCCCTCCCCCCTCTCTCCATCCACCTAAATGGCTCTCAAGGCCGTCCATGTCACCGACGTCCCTTCCCTCGACCTCGTCCCCGAGAACGCCTCTCTCGCCCTCTGCTCCTCCCGCTTCCCCAATGGTTCCCACCTTCTCCTCTCTTCTCTTTCATTCTCATCTTCTTTCCCCATTTTCCCTATTAACATTGTTGTTGCAGGCGTGGAGATGGGTCGGAGTGGCTTCAAGATGCCGAAGTTCGTCGTCATCGGACACAGGGGTAACGGCATGAACGTTCTGCAATCTTCAGATCGAAGAATGAGAGCCATAAAAGAAAATACCATTATGTCCTTCAACGCCGCCGCCACTTTCCCTCTCGATTACATTGAATTTGATGTTCAGGTACTTTTTTTTTTCTTTTCCCTCTGCATACAATGGAATTCAGTGTTTTCCAGAGAATATTTCCCCCCCACGTACCGTTTTCTCTTGCTATGCGTCGCCGCCTACTTGTTTTCTCGTTTTCCGATTTTGCCACGGTGGCGTTTCTGTAAATAACTCGTCTTTCGTCGGCTATTTTAGACCAACTGATATTTGTTCTGTTGAATCGGTACTGATTGGCTGCTTGCTTGTTTGTTTTGTTTGACGCGTTGCATTTTTTTTTTATGTAAAAAAATTGACGAAAAAAGAGACCGGAAGAAAAAAAAGTTAAAGCGAAAATGCACGTTTTTTGTAGGTGACGAGAGATGAATGCCCGGTCATTTTCCACGACGATTACATTTACTCGGAGGAGAATGTGAGTTAATTTGTAATTCTTGTTGCTTGGCGTTGATTTAAATTTTTTTGTTGTTGAGTTTATTATGATGGATTAAATATGTGTTGCAGGGTGCTGTGTTTGGGAAGAGGATCACGGAGCTGAGTCTCTCTGAGTTTCTTTCTTATGGACCTCAAAGAGAGCTTGGGAATGAGGGAAAAGTTTTGCTTAGGAAAAAAGATGGGAAGGTAATGCCATGGAATGTTGAACAAGATGATCCATTGTGCACTCTCCAAGAAGCTTTTGTTAAGGTGGAACCCACTCTGGGCTTTAACATTGAGTTGAAGTTCGATGATCACATTGTCTACGAGCAAGATTATCTCGTGCATGTCCTTCAGACCATCCTAAAGGTATAGACCAAGGGAGATGACTTAACACCGAAAATGTGTTTCAGGACAAGTTTTCTAATTTTAATTTTTCATTTTTGATCTCTGAATTTGTAAGAGCTTCAATTGTGGAGCAGGTTGTTTTTGATTATGCCAAGGATAGGCCTATTATCTTCTCAACATTCCAGCCAGATGCAGCGATGCTCATTAGAAAATTGCAAAGCAACTACCCTGTTAGTTTCTTCAAGCATTTTTAGTTGTTTTGAGAAATTTGGAGGAGGCAAAGTGCTCCTGGTTCATTTATCTTATTTCTTAAAGGTCTAATATGGTGGTTAATTTGTTTGGAACAACCAGGTGTTCTTCTTGACCAATGGAGGATGTGAAATCTATGAAGATGTGAGAAGAAACTCATTAGAGGAGGCAATGAAGCTCTGCGTGGAGAATGGATTGGAAGGAATTGTCTCAGAAATAAAAGGGATATTTAGAAATCCTGGTACAGTAACCAAGATAAAGGAGTCAAAGCTTTGTCTCCTTTCTTATGGCAAATTAAAGTAGGTGTTCCTTTTCTTTATTAATTGGTTGAAATCTTTCAGAAAAAAAGAGTAATTTGGTAAGTAATATGTTGGCTAATGATTATTTGTTGACATTGCAGCAATGTTCCAGAGGCAGTTTACATGCAACATCTAATGGGAATTGATGGGGTAATTGTGGACATGGTTAAAGAAATAACTGAGGCAGTGGCAGATATGATAAAGCCAGCAAAGAGTGGTGAAGGAGAGAGTTTGACAGAGGGGAGCGGGAAGGTACAGGGGAACTCAAAGCCACAATTTTCACAGCAGGAGTTGTCTTTCCTTTTAAAGCTCATTCCACAATTGATACAGATTTGAAGAAAAAACAAGAGTCAAAGATGATTGGCTTGGGATTTTACACATGTACTCATAGTTTAGGAGTCTTGTTCCTTTCACCCTTGTACATACATATAATGTTCAGTTGAGGATAAGGGGAAGAGAATGATTGAGTATGAATTTAGGGGTTTGGTGGTCCTCGTGCAAATGTAGTCACAACGTGTTATTTGTTACACCCTGGTATTATATTGTCTACCATTTCGATGAGAAAATACGAAAAGCTTGTACCTTCTTCCTCGTAGCAATATGATTTTTCATTTTAGTCTTCAAATGTCTACTCTTCCTTGTTGTCTCCTTTTCGTTAGCATTGAGATAAGTTTCATCCAATTCACCCGTTGCAACCAATATTTTAGGATACAGTTGATTGTAGTAATATGATATTTATATAACTTTCTTTATCCCTATAATAATAATAATAATAATAATAATAATAATAATAATTATGAATATTATATTAATATATAAGTTCTCAACGGGGTTAAATCATGGTCGTCAAATCACTTTTCTCGTTCATTTCAATTTTGTCAATCATTACTTTAAAAAAATTTCTTTAATTATTTTAAATGATTTTTTTATTCTCATAATAACTTTTTTTCTTACTATTATTTACAGTTTATTATAATAAACACAAATAGTAACGTGTTTATTCATATTTTTTATATTATTAATTTAAAAAAATATTTTTTATTCTATTTTTTTATAATATTATACATTCCCTCCACTCCTTATATCATAATAAATATAATTACTTTTATTTGACAAAATAATATATTATAAACGATCACAAAATTTCTAAAAAAAACCCTTTATATAATGATAATACTGTGAATTGTCAAAAAATAAATAATATTAAAACAAAGAAAAAAGAAAGTAAATATAAATAATATTAGAATAAAATAGAAAAAGAAAGTAAAAATATGGTGAGATAAAACAAGTTACTTAAACTTTTTTTCTCTATATCGTTATATATGTATTTTTCTAACCTAACAACATTTGATAGTTTAATATATATTTTCACCTAAATTTTTATAATCAAATCACAACCTTTATATGTTTATTATATACATAATCTGATTATATTTCTATTTAAAATTAATGAATTATTTATTGTTTTGATTAAATAAACTTAAAAATTTGATGCATGTTTAGCATCTTCTTATAAACATAAAATCTTATTAGTATATTTTTATCTAATTATATATTTTGTGTTTATGCTTGTCTCTTAATAAAATAATTGTTTCTAAAAATAAAAGTATACATAATAACGATCATCATACACATATTAAAGAGAGAAACAGCAGTGTGATCCATTCTCAACAACATCGATGAATGACTTCTTGGTGAAAGAAAATAAAAGACATTGATAAGAAGTACAAACAAACTATCATTAAGTCGTGTTTGGAATTCTTATTTAAAAATAGTTTTATGTAAGTTATGTTTAGAATTTTTATTTAAAAATAATTTTGTAAAAAGTATCATCTTAAATTTTCTATTATTCAAATTTCTGAAGTTGATATATTTTTTTTAAGTTACAAAAGTTTAATGATACGTTTGATATATATTTAAAAAAAAATTAAATACATGAAAAACACAATTTAACCCATCATTGCATTTTTCATGTGTTAACAAGTTTGATATAACTTTTTATTAACTTGATATGTTTTGACTAAATAATATATTTAAACAAATTTAATTAAACTTTACATTAAAAAAAGATATTGATGCATAAGTGAGAGAAATATAAATAAATGTTGCAGTATGAAAAAGAAAAGGAAGAAAAATGCTATTTAAGATACGCAGTGTTTTTCAAAATTAAGAATATATTATATCGATTAATACATTGGATTGAGTTAATGTATTATCATAAAATAAAATAACTATCAGAAAAACCGTTATTAATAATTTTTTAAAATTCAGATATTATTAGCTTATAGTTTTCAGACTGTTAATAATTTAAAAAAATGTATAAATTTTTAAAAAATAAATTACATTGGAAAAATAATATCCGCGTTATGTTTTCTCCCAATTATACTCTGTTTAATTAGTTTCGCTCATTGGAAATTAGTTGCTTGAACCAATTTATATTCCCTTTTGGATTTTCGTGGCGCTTTAACTTTCTGTACTTTTTTGTAATCAATCTATGTATAATATGGGTAAAATTTAAGAAACAAAATTGAGTATATTATTATTATTATTATATAACATTAGTTGATTATGTATAATTTATAATAATATATAATTGAAATATTACAAAAGTGAGTGAAACAAAATAAAAGGTCTTAGTGTAATGGGTTGCAATTCCAAACCTTTGGGGGCCCAATATGAAAAATAGAGGCCCTTTTGGGAAAAGTAATTCCTTAGGTTGGAAGTAACCTGAAGTATGTTATATTTGCAGTTGAGGGCATGATCAGAATCTGCTTATGGCAGACAAAAAGGACGTATGATGTTAACACAGAATGAGTATTGGATTCGTAGAACGTAAAATTAGAATCTACTTAAGCAGAGACAAAAATACGGGTATGTTTGTTGTATGAAAATAAAACGGAATCGGGTTCTTACTATTTTGCTTTGTGTTTAATTGATTATGCTAACGCGCTTTTTTTTAACCAATTTCTAACGCAGAGTTCCTTCATCCGTAAGAAAAGCATAGAGAATTTTTATTTTGTTTTAGAATATCCCTATTCCTTCAATACAGGAATGGTGCTGCTATTTTATGGATTTAAGACCAAACAATATTAAGAAGATATTTAATATATAAACAAAATTATTCTCCCTACTACCGATCATGTTTATTATTTATAATATCTTTTTTTTATGTTTGTGATGTTAAATTTATTATATCAATTAATTATCTTATTAATGAATTATTTTGTAAATAACTTTTTTTTTTGTTATAATTTCTTAGTAACTACATAATCAATTGAAGAAATTTTGTTTGTAATAATCTTTTACTAAATAACTTATTTATTATTTATTTTATAATTATAATAATTAAGTGAAGTGTCTTTAATTTAATTTTATTTATTTTTTTAGATTTTATTTAACTTTGATTATATATTAATTTTGTTTATTTATATTTAAGTTGTACCTCAGTTTTATTTATTTATTTATATTTAATTATGTATTATTTATTTTTTATATTTATTTATTTATCTTTATTTATATATTAATATTAATATTCTTATTTATTTATATTTATCATTTAATTTATCTTTAATTATGCATAAGTTATTTTTATTTATATTATTTAATTTATTTTTAATTACATATTTATTCTTTTATATATTAATTTATCTTTAATTACATATTAATTCTTGTTTATATTTATTTATGTATTTATTTTTAGTTATGTATTGATTATTTTTATTAATTTATATTTATATTATTTAATTATTATTTTTTTAAAGAAAAACATTTTTATATAAAGATATAATTAAATGTTAAACCTTGAAGATTCATATGACTAAATATTATTAAATGATAATTAATTTTATATTTATTTATTCTGACTAATTATTACAGAAATAAATTTAAATATTTGTAATATAAAATAAAATGAAATAGGTTGATGAAATTAAAAAGATGAACTTTTTATATGTTATTTTAAAATGATATTATTTTACATGATTTTTTTTTCACTATCTTATATTATGCATAACAAAAAATATCAATAAGTTCAAGCACAAAATTTTCTAAATTATTATTTATGTACAATAATCATAATAGCCTTTCTACAAACTAAATTACATGTATCATTCATAATTTAGTTAGTTTTAGATAAACAATTATATAAAATAATATATTTCATATATATATATATATATATATATATATATATATATCTCATATTTTCATCAAGAATTAATATAAAATATGTTCTCTCAAAATGTGTTTAAATAGAAATAATTTTTGGGACAAAAACATTTGTCACGAAAGAAACATTTTTTGAAGTTCTTATGATTTAGTGAAGATAGAAAAAATTCCACGACATTGATAATCATTAAAGGAAATTCAACCTATTTTTGAATCATATTTGCTAAAGATACATAAAGTTTATCATCTAAGAGTCTTGTTTGGGAAACAACGGTTATATAATTTAAGATGGTTGTAGCCTTGTGGGAATGCTTTCAAAGGGGATTTATTCACTCTCATTTCATACCTACTTTCTTCTAATCCTAGTATAGAGTGTGCTAATATGGAAGTTTGATGATCATCCATAGTTCTAGAAAAAGTTGCACGGAATATCATGTTTTGAGTGTAATGAGTCTTCATCTTTCCCCCGTACAGTTCAACATCTAACTTAGATCTAACATACATGATGTGAATCTTACATTCATAAATTTCGTTTACTTTTTTTTTTCATTTAAGAATCTTACATCATACATGATGTAACTATTTTATCAAGATTTTAATCATTAGCCTTAGATAAAGGTTAATTCTATGTATCATGAATAATTAAATTATGTATATATTTTTGAGGGTAAATTTATCTGTCATCTAACAGTAGAAGAAAAATAATGAACCTGACAGGTAAAGTTCATGAAAATACAAATTAAATTTAATTTCTGAAATGTGTATAATTATTATGCTTAAAGAATTTATTTGTATTGTATTACGTAAGTCTATGGTGTAACAAGAATCTTTTAGATATGTTTTTAAAGAATTCGGAATTAGCAAGAAATAATTTTAAAAGAATGAAAGATCCAGGATATGAGAAGAAGAAAATAAAGAAGAGTAGATAAATGAGTGAAATATTTGTTTTGAAAGAAAGGGAATACACCTATTTATAGGTGTAGATGAGTTCAAAAACTTCAACCTCCCATAACTAAAATAAAGGAAAGCAGAATAAGATCACGTTCCACCATGATCTTTGGAGACGCCAAGAAATGTAGAAGAGGAACCACACTATTTTGTGGAAGCCCCACTTTCGTGGATTGAGGAGCCGTTAGATCTCCTTGTGTTCAAGAACTTTCAATCATAAT